CAACTAAGGTACCAACATTTGAAACAGGGCCGATATCATTTGAATATCGACTTGCCGAGCTATACAAAGTGACAAAAGTCAGTGAACATAACAAAGAGAGTTTGCATATATTGGAAGGAATCTATATTTGCACTGCAAGTATGTAACACCATCATCAAAATGTATATTTAATTTTAAAAAAATTTTGTTTGCTTTAAATTCTACTTAATTAATTAACTTATTCTTACTTGACATTGATAGACTGATAATTAATATTTCAGAAAATCCGGTCAAACTCTCATGGCTATATGAGAAGGACATACACATGAGTCAAAAAAGAAAGTGATTAATCCTAACAGCATTACACACTACTATACCTTGCATTTGGTGTTCATGAGCAACCCATTTGGCTTATTAGTAATGATTATGTATTTGTTTTTATTTGTCTGTTCCTTATGAATGGTTTATCGGTTGAAAATTAGATGCTAGTAAGGCACTTTCAAAAATATATTAAACAATTCAATTAGACAAACAAAGTATCTTATGCATTTCTAGGTGTTAGGTATAGTAGTGTGATTATTGAACGAACAAAGTCAAGGTCTGCAGAAAAAGGTATGAGCATTACATTGAATCAAAACACAATAATGGTCAAAAAGGTATATTCCACTAAAATTATTATATTCCATTACACTCCATATGAAATTTGAAGTGTGTTATTTTCCCGCTTATTTTGTTATTTTTCTTTATTATTAGGAGTGTCTGTCTGCTTTTGTCTGTCCATCCGTCAAGTTGAGTCTTCATGATAACATAGATAAAACTGTTTAATCTATACTATTTCAGGTTGTAACCAGCAAATGTCCATTAAATCAGGGGGAAACCAGAGACCCCTTCAAATAAGACAGAAGTTTGAGATGGAATACATAGTAGGATATAGAATGAGTCCTGGTGAAGCAGTGAAGATTGGTTTGGTTGTGGAAATTGGACATTAAAATTTACTTTTAACGGGATATCAATTGAACATGGCAAACTTTATATCTAATGGCATCTACTGTACCATGACTATTGACAGGGAACTTAAAATTGAAGTTAAGCATTCGCTTTAACACAGTCCAATTAATTGAATCCCACAACAAATCAGAAATAAGATCAACTTACAACAAAATTTAAAAAAAACAAAAAAATGAACCCCCCCCCCCCCCCCCGCCACAATTTGAGACACACAGATAAATACTATTAATCTAGTATTTTGACAGCTACAAATTGTCAAAGATCTATCAAATGAAGTGAAAGTGACATGGTTCACTTTTCCCTTGGGTTGTACATTGTATATTATACCTTTTATATTTACTATATAGTTACTATACTAGTATCATAATAGTTATTAACAAAAGAATTTGATTGTAAATAGTTCATCAATTTTAAATCAGCTTCAATCATGTGATGCAGAATGTACGTTAACATCTCTAAGTTAAAAGGATCAAATAAATGAAAAATCAAATGAAATGGAATGGAATAACTTGACAACTTTTTCTGTATGTACTGAGTGTACTCAAAAATATGTGCTGAAATATATTATTAAAGTAGTCAGACATACAATTTGATGAACTTAAGGTAAGGTTGAACATATACATTTTGTAATGATGTACAGTAGATTAAACCATGAGAACTGTCACTGAGAACCATATATAAAAAGAAATTGTTATTTTCTAATTACTTTGATGTGAATTAGAGTATATTATGTCCATTTCTGTCAGAAAAGTATGGATAATGTGGTCATATGCAACATTGCATAACTTAATTAGGGTTCACCTCACTATGATCAGTCCATGTCTGAATTCAGACAGTTGAATCAGTTTTCTAACATGGAAAAGCCTATGTCTGAATTCAGACACAGTCTCATTATAGTGAGATGAATTTGTTGATGTGTCTGAATTCAGACAAGATTTCAATCTGAGAAAATTGATACTGATTTCCACTGTCTGAATTCAGACACAACACATAAGATAAACAAATTCATCTTACTATTATCAAATTGTGTCTGAATTCAGACAGTTGAAATCAGCTTCTGTTTTCTAATATGGAAAAGCCTGTGTCTGAATTCAGACACAAGAGATAAACAAATTCATCTTACTATTATCAAGTTGTGTCTGAATTCAGACAGTGAAAATTTAGGTTTCTTATAGATTAGAAAGCCGCTGCCTGAATTCAGACACAGAATATTCAAGTATAAGATACACTATATGTTTAGCTAAGGAATGTTTCTGTCTGAATTCAGACAACTTGTTTCCCTCTGAAATACATGTGCCTGAATTAATGTAAGAAGATGCAATGAATAAATATGTCATGAGTAAAAACACCTATAAAACAGTTTTGTTTAATACTTTTGTCAAACTGGAAAAATGTCAAACTTCACTGGAACCTGTTATTTGCCATAAATCATAGAAATGAAGTCTTTGTTACAATACTTATCTGATTAAAGTATGCCATTGTAACATTCATTACATTTACTGGTCTATATTGAAAGTAATAGTCATATGTACCCCATTATTGACTGTACCCTTTGCATTCGTTTGACTTCACTTCTTAAAAGAGAGCTCCGTCTTCACTCTTTCAAACTAAAATAAACCTGTGAACTCACCGCGCCAATCAGTGTTCGTCGGCCAAATTTGACCGACGTTCTATATATGGTCATTCCTTCTGACGTCATCGTCGAGCCCAGAATTGACCAATGACATGCGCATATTTAATTAGAACGCATTTGGCGTATGTTTCTTTAAGCTCGCTGATTGGTGGTCAGCGCGTAGGTCAAAATTGATTTATTACCCAAACTGTCACCGCGTCGTGGGGCGGGGCTACTAAACTGTAATATGGTCTCTACTAGGCAGAGTGTAGTTTAACTAGACTCTGCACGCAGGGTATATTGACTGGTAAATCAGTATTGATTGTGGGCTTATATTGAATTTTCCCCTCATGATTGAAACTTCCTTTTCATTATTTGTTCAATTAATAATCGGAAAAATATTTCATTATCATGATCAACATGAAAGAACCAATGTTACAACATTTTGGTGATAAATTATATACAGTGATTGAATTACATCCCAGATTGACCCCTCACCATCCTCCCCCAAAAATTTAATTGAACATCTTGATAAAGATTTGAACAATAATAATTACATCCTTTAGTAAATCAATTATTGTTTACATATATATTATTGTTTAGTACATTGATATTGTTGTTTACATTTATATTACTTGCTTTTACATTTTACAGATTCTCTTAGTATGAATCACTCTTAATATATCAATTAATGTTTACTTTTATATTACATGTACTTTCAAATAAATTTCTTGAACATGTGCCTTAATATACTTAGTCAGAAATTTAACAATTGACCTGAGATTCTGTAATATTGACACTGCATTATTACCAGCTTGCTGGGCCGGTATGCCGGTATTAGTACTTGTTTAGAAGGCATTCATTTTACTATATTGACCTGAGCAATATGTGACGTCATAGTGGCGGGCCCAGCAGTGTTCCCTGGGAAATGAGATATTGTTCAATGCGTATATCCGTTGACTGGTACTCAGTTCTTGCAATTTCAGCCGTGGGCCGAAGGCCCTTGGTCCAATATTTGGCTATAATTGCCCTTTGAAATGACATTGATTTCTCAAACATTGAAGCATGTAGGTGTTGCACCCACTTGAGATTGGATTGCCCCACTTGAGTTTTTGAAACTTGGATTGCACCCACTCGAGATTTTGCATCCTATCAAATCAATTCTAGAAAATCACCTGTTTGAGTATTTTGAAAAAGTTTAGTCTGAATTATTAAAATAAGAATTTTCACCCATTTGAGAAAGCAATAACTTGGGAGAACACTGGACTATTTATCGAACTTTTTAATGAAACAGTTGGCCTCAGCATCACTGTTTCTCCCGTCACCAATAAAATTTCCACTCTGGCCTTCATTCATCAGCTTATCGCCATAGTCACTGCTTGTTTTACTCGCACCGCTGTTCCTTTGCCGCCCACCATCAATGTTATGCTCAGTGTGTCTTCTCATCCCCTCAAGGTCCAGTAACCAGTACGTCTGCAGTGGCTCCTTCATCGCATTCTAGAATGTAAATCATCAAATTTCATAATTTCAGTTTTCTCATCAGAAAATTCTCTGGTGATATATGAAAAGATTAATAATTTGTTCCACAAACACTCTTTTTCTCACTCCTTCATCACATTCTGGAATGTAAATCATCAAAGATCAAAATTTAGGTGTTCATACCAGAAAATGTTCAGCGGTGATATTTGGAAAGTTCAACAATTTCTTACATAAACACCCTTTTTCTCACTGTTTATCTCATTCATGTATCGTTGAACAATCAAAAGAAATTTGTTTTTTTCAAGAGGTCATTTTATTGCCTGTGAATGATCTAATGGTTTTGAATTAGAATTTTTTTGCATTTTTCATGAGATGGTATTCAAATTATAAACTGGTCAAATAACTATGAAAAATTCTACTTTTCTCATGTAAATTCATATTCAAGCTAAGATCCTACATTACCTTGACAACATCATCGTCCCTAGCAACCATAAGGAAGCCTCCCATCTCACTAAGGGCCTTATATGTCTCCTCGCTTATATGCACACGTCCAGATTTTCCCAAAGACTCCAGGCGAGATGCGATGTTCACAGTTTCTCCGAATAAACAATACCTGTAAAATGATTGGAGCTATCGTTAACACAAACTTTGAAACCCTTTGTGACACAGCCACGTAAAAGGTCATTTGAAATAAGAATATATCCAGAGCTTTACCAAATGTTTGATCAAAACTGCTACATCTTGGCACTACTTTCTTGCTATATTCTGGAACCATTTTCGGTCAATTGGCGCTTGCACATACATACCTTGGCATCTTAGTCCCCACTACCCCCGCAACAGCTGGTCCTGTATGTATCCCAATACGTAGTCTAAACTTTGTTCCAGGGAGATGAGGGATTTCCAAGTTATTGATATGGTCCAGTAAATCTAGGGCCATGGTCGCTATCTCTGTGCTATGGCGATTCCCATTACGCTTCGGTAATCCTAGGATTATGACAAAATAATATTATTTCATATTCAACATGATGTTAATTGTAGATAATACCTCGCTAAAATGTTAGTTTGTTCGTGTGTGCTTTATATGGCCTACTACCTAATGTACATTTTGTCAGACTGGTCATTTCAGGATCATGAGGAATATGCCTAGGTTGTTTGAAACAGGATGTCATTTTACTGTCAGTGAGGGCATATCAAATATTTTTATTAAATGTCAGCTACCTCAGATTTAATTTCATCAAAATGATTAAAAGCTAGTCTGTTCAGTTTATCAAAGCAGGAGGGAAATATATATTCAATTACTTATTTAGACATGTTTGAGGTTCATAAAGGAGATTTGTAGAGCTGTAGAGAGTGGGGAGTATAAATGAGCGGCAGATATATTATGAACCTTGGGATAATCCCAATATCCTGAACTTCATATGGGATAATCTCTTTACATACCTGATGCCACCATATAAGCATCTCCAATAGTTTCAACCTTGTAGACGTCATATTGTTCAATACGTTCATCAAAGCAGGTGTACAGGCTGTTCAACATGTTTACAACCTACAAGAGTCAGTAGAGTTATTTAACCGGGGTCATCTCAACAACTACATGTACTAAATTCCTTGACATTTATCTCTGAAGATGTTTATTATACCACACAAAGATATGATATGGTACCCCAGCATACTTGATATACTTTTTAAAAATTTCCAACGAGACTCAAAAGGTTACACTATATCCAAAGAAACTATTCAGAGGGCTCAACACTCAAATCGTTTTGGTATCTAAAAGGTTTCTTTTTTTCTAATTTTAACATTTTACAGTATATGTCATACACTTATACATAATATTACATTAATACATTCAATGTATCTTTTCAAGCGATAGAGTGAGAGAGAGAGAGAGAGGGTTTGAATCTTTGTGAATTGAACATGAGAGGAATGTTGCATTACATGAAGCTTATTATCTCATTCATCATTTGAAATACATGATAGCACTAAGGTTTCTTATTAAATTTACATGATTTATTTCTGCATTTTCATTTTTTTACTTAAAATTATAATAGTATCTCATGTTACTCTAAAATACTAATTTGATGATCTAAAGAAAAATATTCAGGAGGTCTAAGTGGCAACATTTTAAGGTAACCGGACAACTCATCCCCTAGACAGCTCATCCCTGGACAACTCATCCCCTAGACAACTCATCCCCTAGACAACTCATTCCCTAGCCAACTCATCCCCTAGACAACTCATTCCCTGGATGACTATTTTAAGCCCATTTTAAGAACCTTAGAATATAATTATTTAGGTACCTGTATTGGAGAGCTCCGGGCACTTATTTCTGTGAAGCCAACTATGTCTGAGAAGAAAATTGTGACGCTATTATACAACTCAGCAGCAACTTCTTCATTTTTCTTCAAACTCTCAGCTACCTGTTTCGGCAACATCTGATACAGTAATGTATCCGTGCGCGTCTTCTCCTTACTTAGTGCCTTTATCCTATATTGAAGATTTTGAAATATTAGAGGATTTGTTTTTGGTTAAAGGTTTTGAACAATTGGATCAATTGTTCCAGCCCTTGAATGGTATATTGTAATCAGTTTGCAGGGCTGACATGCATTCTAAAATCACATACGTATGTGTTTTTAGGCAAATTTTCAGGGATTTTATGTGATGGTATATAACATTTGATTTATCAAATATACTGAATTTATTTTCTTAAAAGAACAAATTTCAGAATTTTGACATTATTTTAGAATTTGATTGTGTATAAGGTAAAGCTTTTAGTGCAAAAATAAGCTAAGTACCTGTCAGCAAGAGTCAGTGAATATCCTTGAATGTCAGTCGTGAGGGAATACACAGAATTAAGGATGGCAGGGCAGAGGATGATGACACCTCCTAAGACAACTCCTATTATTATAGTCTGGTCACGGTCATTGGCTTCCTGCCGGGATGAAAATAGTTCAAAATGAATAAAAGTCTGAGAATTAAAAACCAAACTTAAGAGATTGAATAAATTCAAGAAATTAGTGGATGGGGGAAAGTTAGAAAGAGAATTAAAAATGGAGAATCGACAAATAAATAATAATTTAACCATTGAAATCCATTGAAAAAATAAATATTGACTGTAGGAGTTGATGTTTAAATGTCAACAAGATAACAATGGCTTTGAAATAACCAAACCTGTTTCTCGAGTAAGGTGTCAATTTTCCTCCCTAGAGATCTCTGGATGGTCAGTAAGGCATCTATATAGATAGTGAAGTTAGCAAACCACCATTCTCCTTGCAGACTGGAGTATTCACCTATCTCACCTGGAATATATATTGTAATGATGCATATTCCATATCACATGGTACATGACTCATTTTCATGTGATACGGGAATGCAACGGTATGGCATCACTAGTTAGCTCTTATAGCCAAAGACTACAGTATTATATGGAAGATGGATGAGACACAGTCACCCAGGACATCCTTAAAAGATTTAGTCACTGATGTTGAGGACAAATCAAAATGCCTGAAGCTTCTTAACATGAGATAAAATCGTGGCAATATTCCACTCAGGTAACAATGTATCACCACTCAAGATTAATGTATGGTGAGGACAAATCGAAATGCCTAAAACTTCTTAACATGAGATAAAATCGTGGAAATATTCCACTCAGGTAACAATGTATTACCACTCAAGATTAATGTATGGTGAGGACAAATCGAAATGCCTAAAACTTCTTAACATGAGATAAAATCGTGGAAATATTCCACTCAGTGACAATGTATCACCACTCAAGATTTATGTATGGTGAGGACAAATTGAAATGCCTAAAACTTCTTAACATGAGATAAAATCGTGGAAATATTCCACTCAGGTAACAATGTATCACCACTCAAGATTTACGTATGTGAAGATTGATGAGAAACAGGACATCCTGAAAAGATTTAGTCACTGATGGTGAGAACAAATCAAAATGCCTGAAACTTCTTAACATGAGATAAAATCATGGAAATATTCCACTCAGGTAACAATGTATCACCACTCAAGATTTATGTATGGTGAGGACAAATTGAAATGCCTAAAACTTCTTACCATGAGATAAAATCGTGGAAATATTCCACTCAGGTAACAATGTATCACCACTCAAGATTTACGTATGTGAAGATTGATGAGAAACAGGACATCCTGAAAAGATTTAGTCACTGATGGTGAGAACAAATCAAAATGCCTGAAACTTCTTAACATGAGATAAAATCGTGGAAATATTCCACTCAGGTAACAATGTATCACCACTCAAGATTTACGTATGTGAAGATTGATGAGAAACAGGACATCCTTAAAAGATTTAGTCACTGATGGTGAGAACAAATCAAAATGCCTGAAACTTCTTACCATGAGATAAAATCGTGGAAATATTCCACTCTGGAAACAATGTATCACCACTCAAGCTTTGCTTTCATGGATGGTACAGGGCTACATTTCATTAAATGAAATGCAGTGAAAACTGATAATATCACAGAGAGACAAAATGCATAAACCTCCTGAATCCCAGGTTCTAAAATAGGATGAAACCAGATAATTTTTGATTTTTGCCAGCTTTTGGCATTTTACTACATACATATACAACAGACGATGTTCAATTTAGTAAATTTAGACGGCAGAGATCATTTCTAGACATTTTAAAACAATTTTTTTGTAAATTGGAGTGAAAATTTTTGTGACGGATTATCTCGTCATTCTGGGTTTCAAGGTCATTTCTGAGGTGATGAGAAATCTCGTCACTGTGGGTAGTCAAGAGATTAACAAAGAGCATAAATATCAAAGAAACAAAAACATACCTATTAGGATTTTACCCGAAGCATAGGAATACTGAATCTCTTCTCTCTTGTCATTGATGATGTCTATAAATGTATCATTGAAGACTTCCTGGAGGTATATTTCACTTGCCAGGTCAGAATACTTCAGTGCAGATATAATAGAACTGTTCCCTAAATTCTAAAAAATAGAAACAATCATTTGAGTCCTATTTCTAAAAACTATCTGTATTGTGGATATGTATGCGAAAGCGCCAAATGGAAAACATCAACAATTAAAACAGAACATAACAAGAAAAAGAAAACGTCTCTCTCATAAGGAAGTGAAACTGATTATTATCCCAAATCACTATCTAACATGAAATGAAACAGCGTCTAATTCCCCTTCCCCATCATTCAAGTAGTAATAAAACAATCTGAGACCATAGCACCAAGGAACATTTCATTCATACTGAAGTCCTTGCAATACATGTTGAAGAAAATTCTTAGAGACACTGTTCTTTGATCTTGCCAGATTGCTATCAACTAAAGCACTTCATGTACGATCTAATTGAGAGCTTGTGGGTTTGATTGCCACCAAGTTGGAGTTACTTTTTCACCGCAGCACTTACCATGCAAAAGCATGGTACTACATTTCGCTTGTATGACCTCATGTAAAATGGCATGAAAGTACAACTGTCAAAATATTATGTGCATCAATAGTCAGGGCTCTCACCAGGAAATATTTAGGGTGTGGTGCTAACATCTTCAGAATAACCGTTTAATCATGATAAATCATATTTATGTTATGTTTTATCCTTTTTACATGCTATTATTGTATATTCAGTCAAGTTTAGACTGTGGAAACGTCACGATTTGCAAATAGGGTGTGGAGGGAGCTAAATAGAGTGTGGTGTTGCACCACCAGTCTGAAAGCCTGGCAAGAGCCCTGAGAGTAGAATAGATAGTCAGAGGATATTCTGGTTAGTCAATGAAGATGGGAACAGTTAAGGGTATCATTATGTCATCACAAGAAGGGGTGACATATAGTTATAGTCTCCAAATTTTTTTGGACCATGTTCAGGGGTTGATGTTGGCATCTGTGGCAGCGTTCGGCAGACAGAGCCTGTAACAAATGGCAGGTAGTGGCATTTTGTATGTTAATACCTTGTTCAAAACTGTTGACATTGTTATGTCTGGAATAGAAATGACTGTAAAGGTTAATGTTCAGACATACCTGATGCTGTAAGAACTTGAGGTAGAGGTCCCTATCTGGAAAAGTCCCTTTGGCGTAGAATATACCACCGAGAGATCGTTCAACTCCAAATGCTTCCTTTCCAACGATGATCTCTAAATATGCAACCAGCTGTTTCCAGATAGTACCGGATCTAGAATATATTTATGGGTGTTATTACAACTAATTAAAGGTGCAATAATTAGTGCAGAGGGGTCATTAAACTATCATGGACCAGTGTTAGAATTTATTTAAGTTTGGATATTTCATCAAGACTAACATCTATTTTTATTATCTACAAAGAAACCCCCCAGATAAACATTATTTTAGCTGATATTCCTCTTGAAACATGGTGGATCTTAAAAATATAAAAGTGGAAGTCCCCTTTTTGAAGCTTTGAACTGAATTTACACTTCTTAGTGCTGAAATTGATAATTTATCCATACATTTTAAGAAAATAGGTATGTCAAAGAAGATCTTAAATCAAATGTTGCCTTGATAGCTCAGAAAAAATGAAAAAAATTTCCTATTTTCTCTACAGTCCTTATTGCCCCTTTAATGATAGTATTGTGCCCAACTGAAAATCCATTTGCACCCACTTGAAAATGAGAGAAATCTTGAAAAGTAGGCATATTTTGATCAAATATGTTCTTAATTGGGGAAATAAAAATTTGCACCCACTTGAGAAAAAATGCTGGGGAGAAAACTGGATGTATATTTATCAGGAAAATTTCAAGGTTTTTGCATAGTCAAAATAGTTGAATGTCATGTATGCATCCTCCTAAGTAGGTATCCAGAATATGTATCTCCTTCTTCCCCCTGCTATAACCAATTTGGAAGCGCCCAATTAAACTGAATCACGTGATCTAATTATGCGCAATGACTTATACATGATTTCTGTCGCAGTGTTGCGACAGCCAATCAGATTGCGAGTTCTTAATTGGGGAAATGCTAACTGCTTAACACAGGGGGTAAAAAGAAAGAACATATTTGAAGCCCTGTGATCGGGGGATGGATGTATGATGCCTACCTTTGTTCATTGATGCTGTCATAAAGCCACTTGATGAATATGTTGATGACTTCAGAATAGAGAATCAATTCAGTATCAATTGTTGTGTTAATTGTATCCAAAGCATACCTGTAATAATACATATATATCTGTACATTAATATTAAATGAAATAAAGGAATTTGATAAAAGAAATCCTGAATGTGGCACCATTTTAAGTACAGTAAAACCTGTCTTAGTGAACACCTCTCTCTAATGAACACCTGTCTCTAGTGGACACCCTTCCTCCACATATACTCTACTAACTTCTGTATAAATTACCCTCTCTCTAGTGAACACATATCTCTAGTGGACACCTTTCCTCCACATATACTCTACTGACTTCTGTATAAATTACCCTCTCTCTAGTGAACACATATCTCTAGTGGACACTTTTCCTCCACATATACTCTACTGACTTCTGTATAAATTACCCTCTCTCTAGTGAACACCTGTCTCTAGTGGACCTCTTTCCTCCACATATACTCTACCGACTTCTGTATAAATTACCCTCTCTGTAGTGAACACATATCTCTAGTGGACACCTTTCCTCCACACATACTCTACTGACTTCTGTATAAATTACCCTCTCTCTAGTGAACACATATCTCTAGTTGACACCTTTCCTCCACATATACTCTACTGACTTCTGTATAAATTACCCTCACTGTAGTGAACACCTGTCTCTAGTGGACCCCTTTCCTCCACATATACTGTACTGATTTCTGTATAGATTACCCTCTCTGTAGTGAACACCTGTCTCTAGTAGACCCCTTTCCTCCACATATACTCTACTGACTTCTGTATAAATTACCCTCTCTGTAGTGAACACCTGTCTCTAGTAGACCCCTTTCCTCCACATATACTCTACTGACTTCTGTATAAATACCCTCTCTGTGGTGAACACCTGTCTCTAGTAGACCCCTTTCCTCCACATATACTCTACTGATTTCTGTATAAATTACCCTCACTGTAGTGAACACCTGTCTCTAGTGGACCCCTTTCCTCCACATATACTGTACTGATTTCTGTATAAATTACCCTATCTTTAGTGAACACCTGTCTCTAGTAGACCCCTTTCCTCCACATATACTCTACTGACTTCTGTATAAATTACCCTCTCTGTAGTGAACACCTGTCTCTAGTGGACCCCTTTCCTCCACATATACTTTACTGACTTCTGTATAAATTACCCTCTCTCTAGTGAACACCTGTGTCTAGTGGACCCCTTTCCTCCACATATACTGTACTGATTTCTGTATAAATTACCCTCTCTGTAGTGAACACCCAGCAAAACGTGTTCAATCTATACAGGTTTTACTGTAGTTTCATATTTCTTAAAAGAGAGTTTCATCTGTGTAGTGTATAGTATTCTTTACGGGAGTTCACCTGTCTTATATTAGTGGTGCAACGCTTCAAAATAAAATGGGTTTTTATTCCCACTCTAGACACATATACTTTGATCCTTTTGTGACACTAAACATATGTTACTTGACAGTAGATAATAGGGAGGTTAAGATACATGTTTTTTAAAAGAACTTTTATGTGAATGTGTAATCTTATGTGCCCCATGGCCAGAGATTGCTGTCCCCTTTCAATTGCTGTCTCCTTTCAATTGCTGTCTCCTTTCAATTGCTGTCCCCTTTCAATTGCTTTTTGGGGGACTTAGTTACACTCATATTCCAAAATCTTTATTCTTAAACTCTGAAGTGAATATTACAAAGGGGAGACCTAACCTCAAAAGGACTATAATTTTAGATGTTTACATACAAGTTCTCTTAAACACATGTTACTTAAGCTCCCCTATGTTTTACTTCTTCACCTGTGTTCATTGAGGTAGTTTTGAAAGCGCTCCTTGCTCTGAAATTCGGTTCTTGGGTTGACATCTGCCACAGGCCAATCAGAGAGCTCCTCTAAGGCTAGGTCAGTCAAGGGGTACCTGTGGTATAGTATGTATATAGGCTCATAGCTGGCCATGGGGGTATGAGCTAACTTCCTCTGGCCAAAAATAAACAAATTATGCAGTTTTCACCATTTTGAGCACTTTTCAAATTATTTTAGGTTAAAAATGTCAAATATGAATCCTTCTGGATTTAAAAACATATACATCGTATGGTCATTTTCTCACATAATCTGATATTTCGCTTGGTCCCTTGATAAATTTGGTCTCTGTATGAAACCCATATTCAACCCCTCACTCAAAAATTTCTTTACCTTTTGAGGATGATATGCAGTGTAGTAATGTTTTTTCAATATTTCCAACATTTTACAACATAAAAATTGAATATATTCTGTCATATGCTTTACAAGAAATGCTTTACTATTTGGTCCTAATGATTCTGTCATACCTCTTTACTAGAAATGCTTTACTATTTGGTCCAAGTGAGCTCACATAGAGGGCACTCATGTCTCTTTCTCTCTGCAGGTTATGGATCAAGGAACCCACCTCTGTACTAAACATAACAGTGTTACGAATAGCTTGAGAGTTTGCATGATTTACAACCTGAAAATATAGCCATGAATGAATGACCAAAGTACATGTATGTACTAAACATAACAGTGTTACGAATAGCTTGAGAGTTTGCATGATTTACAACCTGAAAATATAGCCATGAATGAATGACCAAAGTACATGTATGTACTAAACATAACAGTGTTACGAATAGCTTGAGAGTTTGCATGATGTACCACCTGAAAATATAGCATGTATGAATGACCAAAGTACAGGGTGTCCAAGAAGTAACGTCAATGACCCTGGCATTTTGTCATTTATGCTTCAAATGCCATGAAACTTGGTCACAATGTTCCTTGTACATTTATAAATATAAATATGAAGTATGGAGTTACTAGCATTTGATTGGCCAGTTTAATGAGTACCATAGTAACACAAGTGCATGGACCCCGGGGCAGCTCTGCAATCCGTAAGATCTTTGGAAAATAAAATAACCATAAACACTAGTTTTGAAGTGTACATCTTTTATTTATAATATGACCACAAATATAATGTTTTCAACTACACATCATTTATTCATAATATAGCTGTTTCTGGCGTTATATTAGTGTTATATTAAAGTTTATTGAATGTTACTCTACATAATCACCACCAAGTTCCACACATCCCTGGTGTCTTCTTACCCACTCCAAGAAAACTCTATTGAAACCATAAGAGCTCATTTCTGCAAGGGATGACAGAACAGAGCTCTTAAGTTCCTCATTTGAAGAGAAAGACTGTCCAGCAAGTTTAGCCTTTAGTGCACCATAAAGATAGAAATCACTAGGGGCCAAATCAGGCGAATATGGAGCTTGTTCAAGTAGGGGTGCCATTTTAGATGTGTCCGACTTTGATTGTGATACAATCAGGACATCATCCATGGTAATTCTAATTCGGTCCAAGAGACAGAAAACATATTATGATGTCATAAAGTACTCCAAAGAAGTGTTACCATGGTAACTCCCAATAAACAATAAAACTGTTAGGATTTGAAAAAGTCCCAAGACATTGCATTTCATTTTTGCCAAAGGTTTTACCTTATAATAACCTGATTTACATAATATTTACCAGGTACATTCTGAACTGCCCCAGGGTCCATGCACTTGTGTTACTATGGCAACCATAAAATCGGCCAATCAAATGCCAGTCACTCCATACTTCGTATTTATATGTATAAATGTACAAGGAACATTCTGACCAAGTTTCATGACATTTGAAGCATAAATGACAAAATGCCAGGGTCATTGACGTTACTTCTTGGACACCCTGTATGTACTAAACATCACAGTGTTACGAATAGCTTGAGAGTTTGCATGATTTAAAACCTGAAAATATAGCCATGTATGACCAAAGTATGTACTAAACATCACAGTGTTACGAATAGCTTGAGAGTTTGCATGATTTAAAACCTGAAAATATAGCCATGTATGACCAAAGTATGTACTAAACATCACAGTGTTACTAATAGCTTGAGAGTTTGCATGATTTAAAACCTGAAAATATAGCCATGTATGACCAAAGTATGTACTAAACATAACAGTGTTACGAATAGCTTGAGAGTTTGTATGATGTACCACCTGAAAATATAGCATGTATGACCAAAGTATGTACTAAACAAAACAGTGTTACGAATAGCTTGAGAGTTTGCATGATTTACAACCTGAAAATATAGCCATGTATGTACTAAACATAACAGTGTAACAAATAGCTTGAGAGTTTGCATGATTAACCACCTGAAAATATAGCCATGTATGACCAAAGTATGTACTAAACATAACAGTGTTACGAATAGCTTGAGAGTTTGTATGATGTACCACCTGAGAATATAGCCATGTATGACCAAAGTATGTACTAAACATAACAGTGTTACGAATAGCTTGAGAGTTTGTATGATGTACCACCTGAGAATATAGCCATGTATGACCAAAGTATGTACTAAACATAACAGTGTTACGAATAGCTTGAGAGTTTGTATGATGTACCACCTGAGAATATAGCCATGTATGACCAAAGTATGTAGCTTGAATGATTGAATGTAGCTAGTCTGTAACTTGAGAGTTTGCATGAGGTTGAGATAGTATCTTGGGAGAATACTAGGTACATACATTTTATATCTCCACCAGAAGTAGTGGCATATTCTTATAGTCTCTAACTTTTGTGTGGATGGTGTTCAGTGGTTGGTGTTTGGCAGTTGGTGTTTGATATTCAGTGACTTTAACAACTGGGAGATGACATTTTAATGCCTTGCTCAAAAATGTGTGTGAATATTTACATGTTATGGTTGAATACACATTTCATCAAAATCAGGTGTAATGAGATGTGGATAGTGTTCACCAGTCAGTTATTGGTATTTGGTATCTGTATCAAATGGCAGGTGGTGACATTTTGCATGTTAATGCCTTATATTTAAGTTTCAAAGTAAAAATTCATGTACCTGTTGTCCGAAAACATAACCTGCCAGCCCAATCAGGAAAAGGATGGGAACCAAGATGATTAAGATAATCTTCACCAGTTGGAGTCTTTTACCACGGGTTGTTACTATGTTGCCTGCAAAGAAACCTGGTCGGTTTTGAGAATGATGGATTAAAATGTGCATGATTTTATTATTAGTATTATCGCTCATAAATTGTCGAGCGTGTGTTGATCACAATTAGAAAAAAAAATATATGGAAAGGTTGCTTTATGTGTTACTGCTATGTAACCATGGTGAGTTTTTTAGATCAATTTGATGAAAATATAAAAAATACAGAGTTCTTCCCCGAAAATATTAGAAGTAAAAATGGCAAAAGGTACTTGAAAATTATAATTTAAAAGATACATCAATACAATAATACAGGGTGGTCAAAAAATGGAAACTGTATTTTCCTCATATCTTTGTCAATCTTGGAAATTACTCCCTGATATATGACACATTTATACATAATGCAGTTAAAACAAATTAAAAATATTGCATTATTACCTGAGCAAAGTCCACCCAAACTACCTGTGTTTTCATGACGCTGTATGTCGAGCATATCCATTATGGCTTTGTCCAGTTGCGACGGGGACATAGAGCCGACACTGTCAACTAAAGACTTGTTGCTCCCCATCTTAGAGCTGTTCATTGGACTCACTTGGTTCTTGTTTGGGAACCTCCTCGACATCCAACTCGTCATTTTTGTTTTGTTGTTGACAATGATTTCAATTGTTTAAATCAATAGTTGCAATTTTGAATTTTTTTTATTGTATTTCAAAATTTATTTGTTCTCAAAAGAACTCTCATAGTTGCATCTGAACCTAAATTAAATTTTGATTTGCAAGTTTTTGCGCAGTTTTTTACTATCTTCATCAGTTCTTCATGTTGACTAGTGTTTGAGTATGTCTTGATAGTTGTTTATGTATGAGTACCCTTGCTTGAAACAAGCTTTTGCCCTCTTTTTCTCAGTAAAACGTAATAAAATATTGACATTTGTTAAATTCCAAAATAGTCGAGATCTTTTGTTTATGTATTTTCTACTCAACATTTCTGGCTGATCTCATTTTCTCTCAAGATTGAATTTTTTGATGTTATATATCTGATATTTTTTATTTAGGGGCTTCTGTTCATGAGGTAGATTAGATTAACACATTCGAAATAGAAGTAATATATTGAAAAGTAATATTTGTGTTTTACAAAATATGTTAAATATGTTAAGTATGTTAATGAAGTTTTATTAGCTGATCAATAACAAGATTCAAAAACAACTTTTTTATGTCCCCACCACATAGTGTGGGGCCAAATTGTCGTCCTAGACGCGTCCGTCTGTCTGTCTGGTTGTCTGTCTCTCCGTCCGTACATCCGGCAGTTTTCTCCAAAACCGCTACAGGTATCACCTTCAAATTTTCAGGAATAACTTGTGAGTGCATACAGATGTGGATGAAAAAAAATTAACTCGATAGCTACTTCCTGTCGGCCATTTTGAGGTCATATGCTAAAATCCTTGTCTGCAAACTTTAAGAAAAACTCCTTCACAGTTGCTTTGAAAACTTTAACATCTTGTTCAGCTCACTTCATTCTACATCTGATTAGGTTTTGGACCTGTTAGCTCAGTCATGTCAGCCATTTTGAATGTCTTAAGAAAAGTTATATTTAACCGTTTGGTAGATCAATTTCAAATTTTCAGGGATGATTCTTAGTATGAAAATCTAGATCTGATTAGTTTTTTTGGCGTTCTGGGTAAATGTCAAGGCAGGCATTTTGGATTTTCCATCCTAAAATCTTGTCTGTAAAGTCTTGTCTACGCATTTCCAGGTGAACCGTTTGTTAGATCAATTTCGAATTTTCAGAGATGATTCTTAGTATGAAAATCTAAATTTGATTAGTTTTTTGGCATTCTGGGTAAATGTCAAGGCAGCCATTTTGGATTTTCCATCCTAAAATCTTGTCTGTAAAGTCTTATTTAACTGTTTGACGGATCAATTTCAAATTTTCAGGGGTGCTTCTTAGTATGAAAATATAGAACTAACTAATTTTGGGGGATTCTGGGTAAATTTTAAGGCGGCCATTTTGGATTTTCCATCCTCAAATTGTGTCAGTAAAGTCTTGTCTACTCATTTTCAGGATAACCATTTGACGGGATCACCCATTGGTGGGGACATTTTGTACACATTTGTGTTCTTGTATGTCATTACCAGAAGTGGTGACATATTGTTACAGTCTCCTACTTTTTTGTGGACAGTGTTTTGTGGTTGGTGTTCGGCATTTACACATTGATGTTTGGCATCTGTAGTAGGTTGGTGGGTGGTGTCATTTTGTATTTTTTTTGTAACTTTTTTTGGATATGGTGCTCAGTGGTTGATGTTTTGTGGTTGGTGTTCAGTATGTAACAAATGGCAGGTGGTGACATTTTGCATGTAGATGCCTTGTTATCCCACCGAACGAAGTTCGAGGGGGATATAGAAAAGCCGTCCGTCCGTCCGTTCGTCCGTCCATCCGTTCTTCCGTCCGTCCGTTCGTGTGTCCGGGCAATAACTCAAATACCGGTTGACGGATTTCATTCAAATTTTATAGGTCTATGCCTTATGGGTGTAGGACCTCTGCTCGAGAAGGAATTTTCAATATGGCCGCTTAATTAAAAAAGGCGGCCATTTTTCGGAAAAAATATAATCTTTAATAACTCAAATACTCTTGGATGGATTTGGTTAAAATTTTATATGCTGTTGCCTGGGTACAAAGGATCCTTGCTCAAGAAGACATTTTCAAGATGGCATCCAAATTTCAAAATGGCGGCCATTTTTCGTAAAAAAAACATTATCTTTGATAACTCAAATACCATTGAATGGATTTGGTTCAAATTTTAGATGCTGATGCTTAGGGACATAGGAGCTCTGCTCGAGAAAGGATTTTCAAGATGGCAACTAAATTTCAAAATGGCAGCCATTTTTCGTAAAAAAAAACATCTTTGATAACTCAATTACCATTGAATGGATTTGGTTCAAATTTTACATGATGATGCCTAGGGACACAGGAGCTCTGCTCGAGAAGGGATTTTCAAGGTGGTAGCTAAATTTCAAAATGGCCGCCATTTTTCATAAAAGAAAGTAACCTTCGATAACTCAAATACCAAATGACGGATTTGGTTCAAATTCTATATGCTGATGCCTAGAGACAAAGAAGTTCTGCTCAAAAATAAATTTTCAAGATGGCCACTGAATTTCAAAATGGCCACCATTTTCAAAATGGCCGCCATTTTTCGTAAAAAAACGTAATTAATGATAACTCAAATACCAGTGGATGGATTTGGTTCCAATTTTATATGCTGATGTTTAGGGAAAAAGGAGATCTGCTTCAGAAGAAATTTTAAAGGCGTTAGCTGAATTTCAAAATGGCTGCCATTTTTCATTAAAAAAGTAATCTTTGATAGCCCAAATACCATTGGACGGACATTCTCTGCTAAAGAAGAAATCTTAAGATGACAGCTGAATTTCAAAATGGCAACCATGTTTCATAAAAACATAATCTTTGATAATTCAAATACCAGTGGATGAATTTGGCTCAAATTTTTTATCAAAACATGTTTTGTTCGGTGGGATTTGCTACTCCGTGGAGTTGCTGTTTTTCTAGTTATCATATGACTTGGTTGCAAATATACAAGTGGCATCTAATATGTAGTTCTGAAATATTTTCTCTTGTACTTTTTGAGGTAGACTACATTCATTATCCCAATAAATGGAATTCTGGTAGGAATAATTAAAGGCATTACTTCCTTCATTTTCCATTCATCCATTAGTTTATCTTGGTAACAACTCTAGACCTGTTTGTCTGATTTTGTTCATAATTCATATAATGATGAGATTAAAATATGAACTCTGGAATAATTTTCAATATGGCTACTAAATTTAAAATGGCCGACCCGACTGTTAAAACCTACTGAGAGGGTGGGGGTTGTTCACCTACAGAGAGGGTGGGGGTTGTTCATATGTGAGGGGGCCTATATGTATATGTAATAAACAATTTTCAACATGGTTGCTAAATTAGAAATGGCCTACTTGACTGTTAAAACCTACAGAGAAGGTGGGGGATTTTCACCTACAGAGAGGGTGGGGGTTTTTCATATGTGAGGGGGCCTATAGGCCTATAATCGCACCAACATTAATGCAATTAGGGGCAACACCTACTTGAAATTTTGAAAAAACAAATGTGATTCAGTTGTAATTATAATATACATCTGGTTTCAAATGTCATGTTATTATTATAACATTATCTGAACAAAATCAATTTACATGTAATTCAAACATGACTATTCATGCCTTCTATGAACTGTGAACAAAGTGAATATTTCACCCAAGTTATATTTGGGTACAATACGAGGATGATTCTGATACTCACAGCATTTCTGTTTCACCAGAAACATCTCAAGGCTGAGAAGAAATGAGATGGCATGTTTTAACATGATGCCAAGCTTTGTGTATCTTTCTTTCTAGAATGTGAGCTTATGTCTTATATGTTGGGATTACCTATTGTAACTTAAAGCTAAAGTTGAAAACAAGTTAGATCATAGAAACTTGAGCCTAAGCTCATAAATAATGCTCTTATAATTAACAAAAGGAAAGAAGGTGGTCATATTTGTAGTTCTCTTAAGGTGAGTTCTTAAACAAGAAAGTCAAATTCTACATGTAATTGATGTTATTCATTAAATTCTACAATATGTCATTGATGTTATTCACTAAATTATACATGTTATTAATATTAAACACTAAATTCTACAATATGTAACTTATGTAACACTAAATTCTACATAATTGATGTTATACACAAAACTATACATGTAATTAATATTATACATGAAATTCTACAATAAGTAATTGCTGTCATACACTAAATTCTACATTTAATTGATTTTTTTCTCTAAATTCTACAATATGTAATTGATGCTATACATTAAATTTTACAATATGTAATTGCTGGTATACACTAAATTCTACATTTAATTGATTTTATTCTCTAAATTCTACAATATGTAATTGATGTTATACACTAAATTCTACATTTAATTGATTTTATTCTCTAAATTCTACAATATGTAATTGATGTTATACACTAAATTCTACAATATGTAATTCTACAATATGTAATTGATGTTATACACTAAATTCTACAATATGTAATTGATGTTACATATACACATATACACACCTATACACTTATTTGTACATGTAATTGAAATGTAGTTGATGTTATACACTATGTTTTGTTTTCTGTTTCCAGGAGAACCAGAGTGGATAGAAGTGATAACTGAAGTGTTGTTAAGTCTTTTGTCGCAACAATCTCACTTCATCCGTGTCATGGTCACAAATGTCTTCCATAATCTCGTACCTCACCTTAATGAAGCAGCTGTCAATTTACTTATAAAGGTACATACTTCCTATGTTCTTTAGTTACCGTATTCTCTCTAATGAGCACACAGGTGTAATGAGCGCACATGGGGCTTGTTGAAAACAGTCTCAAGAAACACAGTTTTGTGCATTAGTTTCAATTATTTACACAAGATAGCATGAATTTGTGATCATGTTAAATGCAGAGAATGACATACAGAGTTGTAGGGTATGTAAACACTACATGTAAGTGATAACAACTAATAAGGTTATTTGCAATATTTTTTTCTCATTTTTTATCTCTAAAAAAACTAAATCTTTCAAATTTAAATTTGGGAAGCACATCATGAACTCATTTAGAGAGAATATGGTATGTTCAATCACTAATGTATCATCATATGAATGTATTTACTTCATAGCCAATGAAAAAAGAAATAAAAGTATATAATATAAAATGATAGAATTTGTTATTACCTTTTGCTAATAATTTGGCTAATCAGAATGATATCGTAATAAGAGGCATTGGTGTTAGTTATCTTTGTTACATCTCTAATAAATCATTTGCAATAACTAGGTGTAGTTATTGCCTTGTTGAAAAGATTGAGATTCATTTAGATATTTTACCTGACTCTAGACTATGGAAATCCGAGTGGTTAATTAACATTGATGGGTTTCAGGTGTTGAAGTCAACTGGGGAAGAAGAGGAAGATGACGAAATGCTGGGATTCGATGATGGTAAGCTACACTCATAAGTTTGGAAACCAGAAGTTCTATTTACACTCCCCTTCAAAAGTTTTGAAACCTGAAGTTCTCTTTACACTCCCCTTCATAAGTTCGGAAACTAGAAATTCTCTTTACACTCCTCTTCATAAGTTTTGAAAATAGAAGTTCTATTTACACTCCCCTTCATAAATTTGGAAATCAGAAATTCTCTTTTGGATCACTTATAAAAGCCAGTTTGTTTGGTATTTCAAAAAATCATCAGATTTGTCATAAATTCCCAAACTATTCTTAGAATAAAATTCAAATTCGAACATTGACAGATTTTTCCAGCTGCCAAACTTATGAAGGGGAGTGTACACTCTCCTTAATTTGGTTTACCAGAATTATTCTTTATAGTAGAGGTGCAGGGGATCATATTTTTTATCCTTATATACATTTGTACAGTGTATATCTTATCTTAGTCTTGCATTAAGCCCACATGATCCCCATTTACTTGTACCCATCTCCACAAGGGGTCCCAGAGACTTGATTCAAGACTATGTACAACTGTACAATTGAACATATTACTATTCTGTATGACTAATATTTTCAATTTAATCTTTCCAAATGTTGTACACGTTAGAGTCCATTTAGTGATAACATACAAGGATTATTCTATTAATTCCTCAATCAATATTTTTACTTTTACTTATTGATCACCCCTCGTATTTTAATATATTTTACTTTTTCATGAAACAGATGAAGATATGGACTCTGTTGATGAATCAGAGAATGATGAAAATGAAGATGAGGATGAAGATGAACAAGAAGAGAATGAGAGCTCTTCAGAATCAGAGGAAGAAAGTGATAGTGAGGCTGATGAGGCTCCTGATGAAGCATTCCGGGAACACTTGAAAGCTGTATTAGGACCTGCTGCTGAGAAGAGTGACGATGAAGAGGAGGTCAGTAGAAATATTAAAACTCACACCCGTAATATCATTTGACAAATTATTGCCAGTCCTCTGCGGCTGGCAGATCGAAACATTGAATTTTGATGGAACCCTATTTGGTTTCAACACGAGGCAACTCCTATTTATAAAAGCCTTATTTGGTTTCATCTTAAGTAAACTATTCATTGTCTTAACCAATGAAGTTTGATCGGGATATTGTGAAGTCCATGCATCAGCTCATTTTTGATTGCCACCATTTAGAAAAATCCAAATGTTCATGTGGTGTTGAAATTTCCAAATTTCCGATTTCTTAGTTTGGGTATATTATACTCGAATCATTTTGTGAGAATTCACAGGAATTGTGAGCTCTCTTTGAATTATGTCTATATTGAACTGAAATCAGAGTGACTTTCAAAGATCGTACATATTGTATCTTCAATCTGATTTGTGCCCTCTTATAAAAATGGTCAGCTGAACTTTGAATAAGTAGGAATTTTGAGATTTCACCAAAAAGTGGTGACATTTGTTATGGTCTCCGTTTTTGTGACGAAGGTTGGCAGTTGGTGTCTGGAACAAATTCTTACAACTTCCAATAACTTAACAACATTTTTTTATTTAACTTGCTTCAAATTGACAAATTTCTTTTCAAAATCCCCTATAAAGTCTCAGAAGTTAAAATCTGATATTAAATTGGAGATTTGACCTTCAATGACCTTGTCAAATTGCTTCAAATTGACCAAATTTTTTTCGCATCACCTTCAAGTTCTCAGAAGTTCAAATTTGACTTGAGATTTGAGATACAACCTTCAACGACGCTCTCAAGGTCAAAAAAGGTATTTTTCAACACGCTTCAAATTGACCAATTTTTTTCAAAATCGTCCACAAGTTTTCAGAAATTTAAATCTGATTTTTAGATTGAAGACTTGCCCTTCAATGACCTTCTCAAGGTATAGAAAATAATTTTCAGGTCCTCAGAAGTTCAAATCTGACTTAGTTTGAACTCATAATATTGTGAGCAACTAGATGGTGACATTTTGACTTGTTTATAATTTATGTCTTTAATGTACATATCGAGAGGTGTTAATCAGAGATTTGGTCATTCGGTTTCATATTGAGGGCAACCAGCATTGCGTTCTTGTACTTCCTGTTACGGATGACATAAATCCATGGGTTCACTCCGCTATTCAGATACAAGATGGCTGCGGATAAGTACCACATTGTCTTGTACCATTCGGGCTCTGGATTAAACTTGAGCGATGATATTATAAAAAACTGTCCATACATGGTCATGAAGATTACATTTACGATGGTGGTTGTTTTCATAATTGAGTGCTCATTTTTGTATGCTACAGCTTTAGCATTATCGATGCTTGCCAGTTCACTATGTATCCTGGCTCGATGCTTTAGCGCGACCCACACAATCTTTGTATAGGCAATGATAATAACGATGATCGGGATGAAAATGTTCAGTTTGATAAACGTGAAGTATAAAGAGTGTAAGACATTATCGGTTGAACATTCTTGTCCTGATTCGTATATGTTAACACCATCAATGAACATGATAAAACTGATCAAGAACAAATATACCCATATGATTATAAGAATGATCTTTGCATTTTTCAAAGTCATGAGGTTGAAGTAACGTAATGGATACACAATTGCTACATAACGCTCAACAGCAATACCTATTAAGGCAAAGAGTGATAAACCACTGCATAAAGACACCAGGAATGTTTTGAAAATGCATAATAACTTGCTTTGTATATGTGTGCCTGTGACAAGAGGTAAAACGTAGTTAGTGATCATTACTGTAGGTAGCATAATGACTCCCGTCAAAAGATCAACTGCCGATAGATTCACTATAAACACACTAGTTACTGTGTGAAGTGACTCTATTTTGTAAACTGTCCACAGCACAAGGCTATTCCCTATAATGATGAAAAAGCTGATGAAAATGTTAATCGTCAAGTGCACCCATAGTTCTTGAGTCACTTCCATTGTTGTATTTGTTGTTGTATTTGTGTTGTTATTTGGAAGAGAATTGATGGTCTCATTCTCATTCATTGTGCAATTTTTGAAGCCACTTGCAGGTTAAATCTTTGATTTCAAACTTTTTGAAGTCGTTGAAAACAAAACTTTTTGAAGTCACTGTTCAATCTCTTCACTCACTGGCTGGTTCAATCCTTTGAGTTCAAACTTACTGCACTCAGGCGCTGGTTTGATCCTTTGAGTTCTAACTTTATTGCACTATGTGGCTTGTTTGATTCTTTGAGTTCAAACTTACTGCACTCAGGGGCTTGTTTGATCCTTTGAGTCTAAACTTTATTGCACTATGTGGCTTGTTTGATCCTTTGAGTTCAAACTTACTGCACTCAGGGGCTGGTTTGATCCTTTGAGTTCACACTTACTGCACTCAGGGGCTGGTTTGATCCTTTGAGTTCAAACTTACTGCACTCAGGGGCTGGTTTGATCCTTTGAGTTCAAACTTACTGCAATCAGGGGCTGGTTTGATCCTTTGAGTTCAAACTCACTTCACTCAGGGGCTGGTTTGATCCTTTGAGTTCAAACTCACTGCACTCAGGGGCTGGTTTGATCCTTTGAGTTCAAACTTACTGCACTCAGGGGCTGGTTTGATCCTTTGAGTTCAAACTTACTGCACTCAGGGGCTGGTTTGATCCTTTGAGTCCAAACTTTATGTACTATATTGCTTGTTTGACCCTACAAAATTTAGTCAGAACTTGGACATCAAATATGCCACAGCTTATACCAAGATTTTTGAGAAAATTACTAAAAAAACTGCTGTGTTTTTATGTCAAGATTATCACTTTTTGTAATGGGACAGAAAAGTTACCATTTTCCACCATAATTACAAAATTACTAATTTGATATGTTGGATTGTAAATTGACAATTAACTCACCAGTCTACATTAAATGATTCAGCATGAATTGATGATTCTGATCTCAATAAATATAATTACAGTACATTAACTGGAATTGGATATCATGGATATTATATGATAATAACTAAGAACATACATGTGTATATTACATCTTCATTTGAAAGAGTAGAAGTTGTTGCCTTGATATTTAGACAAATTGGTTGTTGATTGCCCTGGCATTTACATTACTCACAGTATGTATACAGGGTGATCAATAAATAAGGTAAAAGTATCTGGTATTTTGTAAATATTGGTCCAAACATCCTGAAATTTGGTCAGAATATACCTTGTACATGTCTTAATTAAAACCTGTAAAGATATAAATTCTGCCATCTGATTGGTTAATATTATAGCTACCATAGCAACTGGATTCAGAGGTACCCTGAGCAATTTAATTGCATCCAATTTGAACGAAAAATGATAAAAAGGACTTCAAACTGAAAAGATAAATATATAATGAAAACTGATGTGATCATAGAAAGTCTATGACACAGGTCAATGATGAAAAACAATACAGAAGAGATTTGATGAGAGCAAAGAGGAAGAAGAGGCCCGTAAAACGTTTCACATTGCACTGGGATAATGCTCCATCTCACAATGCTATTCTCACGGTACAAGCCATTGAAGCACTGGGTTTCCCACTGTTAGGTCATATTCTATACTCTCCTGACTTGTCCCCTAATGATTTTACATTCATGGTGACCTGAAGAGGGAGTTGAGGGAGTTTCTCATGGGAAGACATGAAGTCAGCTATCTTAAAAATTTGCAGCAGGCTATGGGAAAATGGGTTTAAAAAGGTGTTCAGAGACTGGAGTAGAAGACATGAACTACATGTTAAAAACAAAGGACATTAGGTAAAGTAGTTATGAAGTATGAAATAAGAATATGATATGTCATTTCAATTGTGATTTGAAATATATTATCAAAAGCGCTTCGACTGAAAATTTAGTTCTTTGATAGTTGCTCCGGGTCTTCATGCTTTCTATTGCTATGGCAACCATAACTTCAACCAATCACATCACTTTGATCTGTAACTTAATATTTCAATTCAATACTGTTTGAACATTATTCTGTGCAAATTTTATGAGGATTGGGTAAAATCTGAAGAAATGCCAGATACTTTTACCTTATTTATTGATCACCCTGTAGTCTGTTACGTGACTTGCTTTAGTGTGTGGGCAAATTGGTTTGATTTGTCTGCATTTATTTTTTAAATATTTAGACCATAAATCTCTGTGAAACTTGACCTATAATATCAATGTGTAAAGATGACTTATTTCACAGAATTTCATTCACAGGGGTCCCCTTAATATTCTATGAAGAGAATTTCACACTTATATCTCGTAGAAAATGCTGTTTGGGCGACACTCGTTGAATTTGATTCCTACTGTGAGACACACAATTAGAAATCACTCTTTAACGGTAACATGAATCAATAAAAAAAATGAATTCACACATCAATGGTACAGGACAAAATTCACAGAGAGACATGTTCTAAAATATGTTAAAAGTGTACTTATATAGCTGGAGTGCAAACGCATCAAACAGGTTCACCTACACAAAAGAGGTCATGTGACAGACTGTATACATTGCCAGATATGTGACAGACTGCATACATTGCGAGATGACTCTAACTCAATATATTTAGTCCGTTCTAATGTTCTATGTCAATTGAGATTCTGATGACTGATTGAACTTGAGAATTTTTCGATAGAAGGCTAGATAGATCTCGTAGTATATCTATTATGACACATCCCCCCCACCTACACATATACTCTTGTAACATCTTTGGTGCAAGGATAATTTTGGAAAGTTATTAAATTGAAAGAGGCAGACATTCATGAGTTTTAAAAGTAAAATGCCTCCTAGGTATGCCCATGGGCTTTCAACTAACTGTATAATACCTTGACTTGACTTTCAGATCACTAGCCAGTTTTATCATTTAATAAAAGATTTTAAATTGATCATATTAAATTATCTTTACTCTCATGACATACTTGGAGTTTTCATATATGTGTACATAAGAACAAATAAGAGTATATAGTTTCACACTGAAAAAAATTTAAATTAAAAAATTTATGATATGTTACTTCACTTTTTTATGATGCCTGAATCACATTTGATCTACAGCAACCTTGACAAAAATGTACTCATTCCATAAATTAAGAAAATATAAAATTACAAAATTCTCATCACAGATCTGTCATTAAAAAACAGTTGAGAATAGTCCAAATAAAGGAAAATAATCAAGTGATAATTCCATTTGAAAAAGTGATTTTTAATAATACCAAATTTTCAATTTTTTCAATTTTCCAATACTGTTGATCTTATTTTATTTGAGAAGTTTAAATTGATTGAAATATACATTTGTCAATGTTGATACTGTTGATCTTATTATATTCGAGAAGTTTAAATTGATTGAAATATACATTTGTCAATTTTGATACTGTTGATCTTATTATATTCGAGAAGTTTAAATTGATTGAAATATACATTTGTCAATTTTGATACTGTTGATCTTATTATATTCGAGAAGTTTAAATTGATTGAAATATACATTTGTCAATTTTGATACTGTTGATCTTATTATATTTGAGAAGTTTAAATTGATTGAAATTTTGTCAATTATAAGTTCAATTAAATAATTAAAAACTAGTCTTACCTTGTTCTCAATAAGTGCGTTGACTTCGTTAGGTGGAAAAATTATAATATCCGATTTAAAATTGTGTTAATATATCTGCACACATACAGTGTCTTGTAAAATTAATCATAATCTGTATATATATATACACAAAATCAGACACTGTAATCAGAAACCTCTCATGTGTTGTGGAGTTAACGGTTCCAGTAGTTTTAAAAAGAGGAGGGAAAGTATCGCAACAGATTTCGGACAGTCATATTTTGGATTTGGATTCCCTATAAAGTGGTTATCTGTATGTCAAAACACAACATATTGATGCAAGAAAAATAAGAAAAGCAGGGGTGGAATAGGTTAAAATCAGGAAAACATATCAGAAAAAACAAGTGGGTGGGTTCTTTGCATCTTCCGGGCCTCAAAGTTGAAATTATTTTATCATCTCTATGAGTACTTTTCCTGTTTGCACCTGTTTAATTCCTCAGAAAATAGCCAAAATCCAACATTTGACTATCCGAAATCTGTTGCGATATTTTCCCTCCTCCTTTTAATTGGTAATATTTTATCTACCAAGCCATGATGAGTATTCGATCATAATTATTATATATGTGTAGACTGTCCGTAATAAGAAGGAAATCGTGTAAATAGCTGTGTATGTCATTCTATAGCAACAAAATAGGCATTAAACCTTCAGTTGGTGATCCCTTTGAGGTGATGACAAGTTCATTCATGGTAAAAATCAAATTGAAATACCTCAAACTCAAATCAAACTCAAATACCAGTCATCAGATTTGGTTCAAATGTTATATGCCGATGCTTAGGGACAGAGAATATCTGTTCTAGAAAAAAATGTCAAGATTGATGCTGAATTCAAAATGGCTGCAATTTGTTCAGGAAATTGAAATTTTTGATAATTCAAGGAGCAGTTAGCAAATTACTCAGATGCGTACAGGTAGTTACCAGTTTCGCCACCAGGTGGCTGATTCGGGGGAAAAAACATGGCAGGGTATTACAAAATTGCCTTAAACTTGAATATTCATCAGTTTTATTGGTTCACTTTTCATATTACCCTTATGTATGTGATAGTTATATAAATTAAAATATGTCCAGTAAAAGAAATTATTATGTACTTAGGTACATGTACTATCTGAAGCCCATACTATCCTGAGTCCCTGCAGTGTTATTAGGTTTATGGATGCTTACTTTTTTTTGTTGTGTTATTGGAGAAGGATATTTTCTATCATTAAAAGCTCGTGGTAAATGTTTTTGCATTAAGTGTAGATTGAATAACATTCTACAGTTGGCAAGTGGAAAACATCTTTTTATTTTTATCCTCCCACCGAACAAATTTTGAGGGAGATATAGGAAAGCCGTCCATCCGTTCGAGTGTCCAGGCAATAACTCAAATACTGGTTGACGGATTTGCTTCAAATTTTATAGGCTTATGCCTTATAGATGTAGGACCTCTGCCCAATGAGGAATTTTGAATATGAATATGGCCACTCAATTCAAAATGGCTGCCATTTTTCATAAAAAATGTTATCTTTGTGATTTTTGATTTTGAGATATATTTTCCATCTTATATCAAAAAAAGATAATCCATTCATTGTATTATAATCATGACATTTAGATAAATTTTATAACATAACTTTTCTCTGGAATTATGTTGTAATTCACCAAATTGGCCCCCTGGTTATAAACTCGATAATTGAAAATTTTTGTAAGCCATCAAGTCCGTAAGTAGGTCAGATCCTTAAAACTGCCTTCTTACCTTTCAAATAATATATTGGAACCTAAGAAAAAAATTACTTATTTTTTCTCATTAGTTGTTTTTAAGCACTCATGTGCTCAGCTGAATGTATACTAATAACTTAATAGATAAAGATATATGATCAGTTGAAATCATGTCTATTATGGGGTCGATGAAAGGCCAGTTGACATCGGATGCTCACATATAATTGTTCATAATTCAAGTAAGTATCTGGTCTATTTAAGTGCCTAGTGTATTATTTCAACATGTGTCTGTTGACTCCCATGTTGAGCCTACGAAATTCTTGACTCGTCTATATTTCCTTTTGATCGTCAGTAATTAACAGACAAATGATAAAACATTGACGTTTATCTCAATGGATGCCCAAATTAATCTTATATGGGAGTCCATACTGTAATTTACACTATTTGTCCCGACTCTAATTTTGCCTCATTTTGAAAATAGTCAGTGTTTACTGGGTGTACTATAAGTTTTGTAAATGTCACTCTCATGATGAGTTATTCTTTTGTAAAGGCATCCTGGTGATTCAAACTTCAAAGATGATAAGATACTATTTTAAAGTTCAGGGATGAAATTATATTCAAATTTTATAAAGAAATGAAATCAAGTTTAATGGTGAATATATGTATTCAAATATCAATGGTGGAATATATATTCAAACTACAATGATGATTTTATATTCAAAGTTCAAAGTTATATTATACTCAAAATTTAATGATGATATTATATTCAAAGTTCAATGATGAGATATATTTTCCAGGATGATGATTTGAGTGACAGCGAGATGTTTAAGTTGGATGACATGTTAGCAGCAGCATTTCGCAGCCGTGTCAAAGACAAGAAGTCGGACAAGGAGAAACTGAAACAATTGGTCCATTTCAAAATGAGGTATAAATTTGAAATAATGAATCGTCCCATTGTAAAAGATATAAAAAAATGTATCTGTCTGTACTGTACATACACTAACACAAAAATACATTAAATGGCACTGGTTTTGTGTCACCCTGTACTTGTTATGTGGTAGAATCATTTTTCAGTTCTAATTTCTCTGTTTCAATCTTGTTTATCATCTCAATCATTTCATTCTCCAACAAATAATGATTTAAAGTATTCAAAGAATTTAATTTAAAGAATTCTAAATAAATTCTATATCATGATTGAATCATTAGTATAATGAATTCTTTAACACATAGCCTTTCAGAAGATCAAAGGGGATATTATTTCCTAATGTGCCGTCATAAAAATTAACAACAAAGTGAATTATATATGTTTTTATTTTTTCAGATGTTTGGAGTTGGTTGAGGTCATTGTGACCTCTGAAGTGTCGTCTGCTATATTAATACAACTGCTCTGCCCCCTATTGGATATAATGGCAGCTAAAGACACCAAGGATAGAGATCACAAGGAGTTTGCAGGGAAAGCCAAAAATGTTTTCCATAAATTGTATAAATCAAAACGGGTATGTATTAATTTGTAAGTATTCTGTATTATATTATTTGTTTTCTTTGATGCAATGCTATACAGATGATTTTCCAATAAAACTTAGGATTTAGGCTCAGGCACCCATCCATTAGATAATAAGTAATGCATTATATTTAGGCCAGGTTATAATTGAAAGTGCATTATTTCACATATTAATGAATAGGTTCTTGTGCGTAAATCCTTTTCACATATGATGGAAGAAAAGTGCTATCCTGTATGAGACCCTGACAAAACCAAAATCATGAATTAGCACTTCAGGTAAGTCATGGCTATACTTTGTTCTGATTGGTCAGTATGTGGTAATGCATGGTAGCTATGGGTGAAATAGTATTGATCAATTAACTTTGGGATGACCTTAACCTCTTCATGTAACATTAACTCTTTGCATAAAAGTACTATTATGTTGTCAGGTTGTCATTTTACGAAATTTCACTTATTTACCATTTGACCTTTTGAGTGACCTTGAGCTACAATTGTTACCATGACTTTTATACGCACTTAATATTATTGTGCTGACCTCGATTTCTTGATGTGACCTTAACTTTATGCATATATGTTGTCAGGGAGACATTTTATGCAATTCCACTATCTTTACCTGTGACCTTTGGGTGACATTGACCTCAAAATGTAATCATAACTTTTAATAGTAAGATAATGTGTAATTAACTGTGAAATTTTGTCTCAGTCAGTAATTATTATTATGGATCTTAGTTAATTTTGATCTCGCATATGAAATTGAAAATGTTGTCGCGAAAGCACCAATAGTCAGACCATAGATGATCAAAAGGAGACCAGAGAATGTGGCAAAACTCATCTTCATCTGACCCTTCGTTAATATACCATGGCGCAAACTCCATTGGTTTTGTTGGCCAAGATGGTCCACCAATCCATTGCCATTCACCATTAATTCTTGTACCCCCTGTGTAGAATGAATCTGAAGATTCTCCTGGAGATGCAAAACCTGTTATAAACAAAGTTTGAAATGATTAAAAGATGTCACCAACTGCTTGACTTGGATACGTTGGTTCTTGTCCCATGTTCTCCAAGATACAAATATCCACACTGGTCTACTAGGGTGTATAATGATATGGATGCTTTGTCCAATTAATGATGATTAGATGAGCACTGCACACATTTGATAAATTAGACTATTATAATATCATACTAGTAAAACTTGGAAGTAGATTATGTTTTGGGTTAGAGAGTATTTTACTCACACCTATGCCCACACCTATGAAAACTTATATTATGATTTTCTAGTAGGGCTATTTAAAGTCAACATTGTCTACTAGATTATGCTGGCATTATTGGAATTAAACATAAAAACTCAAAGAACATTACATACCTCTGCTCTTAATTTCTTCTCGAATGAAGGTCAACTCCTCCTGTGTTTCTATGGCAACCAGGTTAGCTCCTTGAGCATTGCAGAATGAAAGAGCATTTATCCAATTCATTTTTTCTTGTGTAACAAAATTGTAGCAAGAGCCAAATGTCTGATTTAAAGAAAACCCCAATGGACACTCTTTTTTAGGCCCTAAATGAATGCATTTCAATATATAAGGATTATACACTGGGAGGTTTGGACATAGTGTTTATCTTGAGGGATATATCTATTAATCCCATACTTGGGTTTATCCTGAGGGATATATCTATTAATCCCATACTTGGGTTTATCCTGAGGGATATATCTATTAATCCCATACTTGGGTTTATCCTGAGGGATATATCTATTAATCCCATACTTGGGTTTATCCTGAGGGATATATCTATTAATCCCATACTTGGACGTGTTACAGGTACATAAAGCCGGTTTATAAAAACTTGAAGTATATCTGCCCGCTACGTCATAATCGCCATTCGCATATTGGTTCATCTTTTGTAACGTTCGCATAATAACTGTAAACGGCAATGGAGAAAAACGCAGACAATCGTGATCTGTTTGGTAGTTTAAAGAAGGGAAGGAGCATACGTATCCCTGTTAAATGTGGATGAATATCTGAAAGATCAGGAAAATGCGGCCACGGCCAAGAAAACAAAACTGAACATGAATATTCTAAAATAATTCAACGGTTGGTTGGAAATTATCTGAACTGTGGCCCAAGATTGGTATGGGATAAACAGATCATCCTATAGTCAGCTCAGGATATTGGGATTATCCCTTGGCCAATATAAAATATCTCATATAGGATAATCTCTATATCCTCCTTGGGATAGCAGGGACAGAGTGTGAATGTAGCCATGTAGACCATAACCTCAAGAAATACAAAGGTCCATGTACAGTATGGTGAGTGATTTTAGACGGTCATATCTTTCACCATGGGTACTTTCTGGCCATCAATACAGTGGTTTTTATTAATACAATATGTTTTCTTTCAAGTGAAGTCCCCATGGAAGTAAAATATCAATCCAACTCTCTGAAAAATTATGGATTAGGACCCCACCTTGGCACTTTTTAAAAAAATGTTAGGCTCATTTTCTAAAAGAGGATCTTGTTTTTCTCAATTTGAACATATCGAAAGTTTCTTCTACACTATATTAACAATTTCTGAAAAGGGGATGTGGATTGAAATGCATTAAAGTTAAAAACCACATATCCCATGTTATTTTCCCATAGGGAAAACTCATGCTATCCGTTGTTTTCAGCATAATTTTGGTCATCGAAAATGGATATCTTCAAAACTAGATTTTCAATACCATTCTATTATGAAGAAGTTTTAGACCCCTTGTTGAATAATTTTTTCATGCAATAAAAAACAGAAAAAGAAGATCCTATTTTGAGTAAATAGGTTCAACATTTTGAAAAGAATGTTGACATGGGGTCCCTATTAATAATTTTTCGAATTGTTCAATTGATATTTTTATCATTATGGGCACTTCACTTGAAAGGAAGCATATTGTTTTAATAAAAACCACTGTATCTATGCCCAGAAAGTACTCATGGTTAAAGATATGACTAAAATCACTAAAATCACTTGCCATACTGCACATGAACCTTTTGAAAAAATTAAGAAATTAAAGCTACTACTAGATATTATTGTGTACAGTATCAGCAACCAGCTTGTAATTCTACATTCTTCAGAAAGCTTACAGATGAAATATAAGTGCTGAATCTGCTTTTGTTCAGATACAAACCTTGCTGCTTTTTACATTGTGCCAGTTGTGCTTTTACATCAGTGAGACTATTGTCACATTTTGAAAATTCCTGTTTCCAATTCACACCTCCATTCACAAAGCTGGCACTTATCCCTAATATTACTACCATCGCAGTGGCTGGAGAAACAATTGTAACTTTCATATTGTATCTGAATGGGTAGGTTGATATCTTTGATGTCTGGAAGCTATTTGATATTCTTAACTAAGAGTTTAAATCCTCTCAGTGTTCTCCTTTGTTAAGTAAGAGTATGCAGATGCAAATTATGGTGCGTTTTGCATATTTCGTTATCCCACCAAATGTAGTTCAAGAGGGATATTGATTAGCCGTCCGTTAGTTTGTTCGTCTGTCTGGGTAATATAACTCAAATACTGGTTGATGGATTGGGTTCAAATACAGGCTGATGCAGTCAAGATGTTACGAGATGCGCACTCGTTGTTTTAACAATTAATTCATTATAAAGATGGCGTCGGTAAACTTGGTTACGTGACTAGTTTTCTGCTCTTTCAAGAATTTGCAGGATTTTGAATTGGGATAACAAGAGCCATTTGTTGAGGGTTCAACGGAGGAAACCTTAAACTTTTATCATGGTAAGTGAGTTCATTATGTTACTCATGTTGTATTAAAGTTTTGGAGCTGTTGGTTGTATATTTGAAGACGAAAATGCGAATTTAATGAAGCCCCTGAGTTTTTGAAGTATTTTCACAGTACATTTGCTAAGCTTGTAAATTCGTATATTAACATCACGTAAGCTAAGATTTTGTACTTCTTCTTCAAGATAAAAGAATAAATTAACGTTAAATGATATATCTTTTACATCAAGAGGTCAGATTAATCCGTTTACACGAAATGAAAATCTTCCGATTTACAACTTTTTTTCGAAATGTGTCCTCCATTTTTCGATTTTTTGCCCTTATTTTCTCTTTATTCCCGTATTTGCTGCGAAAGTTATGATCACATTTACAATAAAACTAACATATTTTCTTATTTTGTATCTTATTATTGCCACGATTGTGTCACATCACTTCAGAAATGGATTCATAGACGAAGTTTTATTTTCCCATTGAAATAACATGTAGGTGCTGGACAGCTACTCGGATAAATAAATATTATGAAAAAATGTCCTGAGCTAAACCATTATCAAAGGTGCACTATTTGTCTAAGTCAATAGGTGTAATGAATTATGTTGTGTTGTTTTACTGGTATATCATTGTATGTCAATCAATACATGTATAGATGTCTATAAATGGTGTCATTATTTTTAGGGTTCTCAGTCAAGTGCGGTATAAAGCAGTGCTGTAGTTGAATCCCTCCAGAAAAGATATGCTTTGAATGAAGGATGCAATAAGTTACTATCAGGTAAACTATGTTGTTTTATATAAAAAATAGTATCACTATTGGAGCTTTTGGAGCTCCCTGCGCTCGCCTGACTATGGACCTGAATAGGATGTGTCTTCTAATGGTTTGCTTGTGGCATTTTTGAATAGGGTTCACATAAATACACATTTTAGATTTACATTTACAGAATACATTTTACATTTTTTACATTTTATTAACCGTAAAAAGTGTGCATATTATACCAGCTTCAACAGTTACAGGTTTTTGCCTTGATAACATACAGTTGTACATTGTCAAACATAGGTGCACTATTTGTTTGTCTTAGTGAATAGGTATATTGAGGCATTTTGTGTTGATTTACTGGTATATCATTGTCTGTCAATTAATACATCACAGATTCACATGTATAGGATTCTATGATTTTTTTCATTATTTGTAGGGTTAAAGTAGCGCAGTAGAAAGTATAAAGCAGTGCTGTAGTTGAATCCCTCCAGAGAAGATATATGCTATGAAGGTACTATATAAACATAAAAACTTACAATTGCGTAAACTATGGTGTTTTATATAAAAAATAGGCTAGTATATCATCAATATTATTAATATTTTGATATAGGGATTCATAAAAATGTTATCTATGATGCTTTGTGATTATCGCAAAGTTAGTAAGCTAATAAGCAATGCTGTTGATGCCATTAGATACAATCGTATGTACCGTTTTGAAAAAGTTGCCATCCACAATAGGGTGTTTCATCCTTGCTGCAAGCAGCAAAGGTATTTTACAAGTATTTAGGCATAAATTAAGTCTTTTGAAGAAGGATTGGGTGTTTCACTTTTTGATTTTATTTTGGATCAAGATGGAGTTTTGCCCAGTTGGTCTCCTGGTAGAGGAAAGCAAGCACAAACAATTTCAGTCAAATCCGTTGATGTTTAGACCTCCCCCTTCCACATTTTCTGACACCCATTCACTACCATGTTACTAATTGTCTGAATATTGCAGAAAGTATCAATTTCATCATGTTTGAAACCCATGTTCTACCAAAGGCATTACAGTGATTTGCATCAAATTCATTTGAAATGTTGTTCAGTATGCTTTTGATCCATGCACTTCACCAATTTATAACATATTGTGAATCTTTTTGGAGATATTGTATTTCATATTGTAAGGAATAGATTGGTTAAAAGTTAAAAGTTGCTTGTAATTTTGTCACCCCCTATAGATCTGATTCTTCCTTTAAGCATTGATTAATAAGAATGTGCTATATATCATTAACGTTAACCTGCATCAGTTTTTAGCAAGAATCAGGTATTGATATCATGAATTCGAGAGTACCTATGATCCCCAAAATTAAAGATGCATCAGCTTAGGCTATCAGATTCCACCTTTTAAAAGTTCAGGACCCTACATTTTCTAATTGTGTGGTTATGGCACCCTCAAAATGGCAAAACTCCATTGTGCGTGAAGCAATTTGAAGTTTGGTAGAACATAGGTCTCAAATATGATGAAAATGACAGATTATTAAGTTATTAATATGGTAGTGAATAGACGTCAGAAAGTGTGGTAGGGGGAGGTCTAAACATCAACAGATTTGACTGAAATCTTTGTGTTTACTGTCCTCTTTCAGGAGGTCAACTGGGCTATACTCCATCCATTGATCTTGAAAAAAAGTCAAAAAATGAAATAACCTAATCCTCAAGCTCCTCAAATTCATTAGAAGCATATTCTCTGATTCTAGGCCTATTTGAAAAGAATTCATCAAAGTGTAGCAATTATAGGCACTTAGCAGTTAATCTGAAAACATGCTATGGGCTGATGTGAAAAAATCATTCTACCCTGGTGTTATTTTTATTCCAGGAATATGAGAAGGACTTCTGCAAAATACCTGGCAAGTTTTATCCACCCTAGTGAGACACTAACATGCAAGAAAATGGTGAGTTAGGGTAATATGCAATATTAAATATGATATTTAATAAATAAAGATTCCTATATCATTCTACTGGGAATATAAAAAAGCATGAGGGCATGGACTAACCCATACACAAAATCTGGAAGGTAAACCATGAGTGTATTATCACACATGACCATGCTCTAATTGAATTTCTCGACCAGTCAGAATGCAGCATAGCCAATAACGAATGTTCTCTATTTCTCCATAGATGCACAACCGTGCATTATTCAATCATTCGGGTGTCTCTATATTGTGACGTCACACCTATGAATGGCGATAATAACAGCAACTATGGGTATTTTATGAACCCCAATCCTTGAATACGACACAGAAATTCAACTTTTATGTTCGATACTTTATTTCAGGCAGAGTATATCTTAGCCTTGGTTAACCATTGAATTGAAAATTAAAGGCTTAAAGTCAGTTTATTATTGAATATGGGGGCTATTTAGTGTGATTCAAATGTCATCATATACTTTGTTTCTTTTTTATGAATTATAAATATTTTCACTGAAATTGTTGATTTTAATGAGGATTGTTAGAACTTGAAGACTATTGATCCAAATGGCATAAATACAGGGTGTCAAATAAATTTATTCTCCCCTCATAAGCTTAAACACCAACACAATGTTGCATAACTTTTTTGTCTGCATGGTCATTGTATACAGACTGTGTTATATGAAAACAAGTGGTGCAGATATCATGTGCGCAAGATGGGATATTAATGGTCATTTTTGAATGTGAATTTGTGATATTTCATAAACCAAGCAAGGCATGCTGGGTACCCGATCATAGTCACTCATTTGTAGAAAATACTTAATTTTGTTTTTCGTTCAATTTATGTGCACCTCGCAGTTGCACACTTGATATCCACACCGCTTGTTTTCGTATAGCACAGTCTCCATAGAGATTAATTGTTCTTCTGAATATACATGGAAGCCATCATGGAAAAACTCCACAAGAAGTTTCAGATTAGTAGTCCAACCTTCTGTCCCGGCAATAACTTTTTACCTATTGGCCCAATTTTGATTTTATTCTTTCCATACCATTTTAGGCAATTTAGTTTTATTCTTTTTTTCCAGGAATATGAGATGGAGTTCGTTCTTTACAATACCTGGCAAGTTTTATCAACCCCAATGAGACACTACCATGCAAGAAAATGGTGAGTTTAAATAATATGCAGTCTTGTATGTATTGAAAATAGAGCTGAAATGATAATGATAGCCTAGTTTCAATCTGGTTGATTTGATTAAAATACACATTTTCATTGAATAAAGATCTGGTTAAATATTAATGTAGCCATTATTAATTTAATCTTCTATGTAGTATTTTCTACATACATTTCAAGGCAAAATATTGGATGGATTAATCTAAGCTGATTACTTATTTGTTACCATTTGCCACTTTACTGGAAAAGTGAGGAATTAAGTGTTCTGCAGAATACGGCATTTTATATTCATCCATAGATTTTATTAAAATGGTGAATGAAATTATAATGAAATAGAATTAATATACACTGTATTTATGAATTTAGATTTTGTTTTTAGCTCACATGGTGAGCTTTTGCAATCACTCACTTGTTTGTCTGTCTCTCCGTGTGTCCATCCGTGCGTCCGTCTGTCAACAATAGTGGCACGTTTTAAAACCTCTGTCAATAGAATTCCCGTTTTAAGTTATTTCTGTTCAACATCAATACAGAAAACCCCCCTATGACTCCTGGTTCAAAAGCTCGCCTATTCTCGCCATTTTTGTCTCGCAAAATTCACTTTTGACCCATTTCCTAGCTCTACAAATAATTTCAGGTGTCTTACAGTGTAAAAATCCTTGTCAATGTAAAGATTAGTTGTATGAAATAATTTTGTTACAATAAATCATCAAAAAATTATATCCATTTTTTTTATTTTCAGCCATTTTAGTTAACATTGATTTGTCCATTTGACTTGCGAAATCCACTTTTCTGTCAACAATAGTGGCATTTTTTAAAAACTCTGTCAATAGGATTCTGTTCAACATCAATACAGAAAACTCTTCTATGACTCCTGGTTCAAAAGCTCACCAATTTTCAAAATGGCCGCTATTTTTTCCGCAAAATTCACTTTTGACCCATTTCCTAGCTTTACAAATAATTTCAGGTGTCCTGCATTGTAAAAATCCATGTCAATGTGAAAAGTAGTTGTATGAAATAATTTTGTTACAAATAATCGGCAAAAAATTATATCAGTTTTTTTTATTTTCAGCCATTTTAGTTAACATTGCAAGACAAGGAGATGCAAATGTAACAGCTTCAATAAAGAATGTGGACCTGGATGTAAGTGCAAAGATTGTAAAAATCCTAAAGGATCTTGTACTTTACAAGTCGATTTCCAGTCTGATTCATCATCGTCTGAAGATGAAAGGTACATTCTGATTCGGAAAATGATGACCTCCAAACAGAATAATGAATATATTGACTATAGCAAATAGAATGTAGATGAAAAAAACTTTGAGACCAACATGGCATATATTTACATCATTACATATAACAGTCCATGGATGCAAACTGATACCTGGACTACATGTATTCATATTCACATACAATTCCATACATTTATGAGAAGAAGTTACTTAAGAGTAGTGTAAATACACTATAGGCCATCCAAAGATTGGATAATAAGCTGTTGATAACATTAATATGTACATAAAGTGATTTTACACAGACAAGGCATATTTTTATATCATTGCATGGGAAACAGTCCAAAGATGCAAACCCTAACACCTGGAATATTCACATAATTTATCACTATTTGATACTTTGGACTTCCAAAAATATATAGATCATGATATATAGAGTAGGCCCAAGTACAAGCAATACCAGTAGTAGTTCACCATATCTTATACTTTATGGTAGAGAAAAATGACAATGGTAACAATTTAAAATGCTTTAAAATGTATATGCTACAACAAAATATACTAGTCTCCATCCACTTTTTAGTATGTATTTTGTAGTGTACTAAAAATTTTACAGTTATATGAAATTAAGTTTGACAAAGTGCACAATTTCAAATATTTCATTTGAACAAAATATGCTGGCCTCTATTTAGTAGTAAATTGTGTTTGTTATTCATTCAGCTTATTTATTGTGTTTATCGTGTAAAATTTTATTTTAAAAGTAAAAATGAAAAACATAAGGATAATGATATGCATATCAAAGCAATAGAATTCTTTCAGTGTGCCACTTAATAGCTTAACTTGTAAAAAGAAAGGACATATTGCACAGACATTATCCTACACTAACATTAAAAATGAAATTGACATCTATTGACAAAAATAATAACTGGGAGATATCGCCAATATATACTCCAGAAAACAAATATGCGAACTGCAGAGGATATTGTGGCGATATACTCCAGAAAAACCAATATGCGGAAGATATTGTGACTATTTAAATTGAACTATTTGACCAGAAATTTGTTTTTCAATGATATTATACATTTAGTACCCTACTAGTAAGAGTGTAAGATAATAGGAACATCCTATGATTTATTCAGAATATCATATTATCTACTCTTTGATATTGTTATATACACTAGGGACAGTATTATTTATTTTGAATATATTTATTCATATGTATAGATATTAGTATGTAGTGCACATATGTGGAGATCTGGATGTTGCTCAGGAACAAGACACTTTAAGCCTGATACAGAAACAGTATTAGTTTTTTGTTCAAATATTAGTATAAAAATATGTAGTTGTGTATGCTGTCCATTTTAAATAGTTAACAATAGATAAGAAATAATATTTTTATTACCAATAATATATTTTTCTTGTTTATTATTTCTTTAAGGCAGTTTCCCAAGTTAGCAGTGTGGAAAATCAAAGCAAGACTAATGTCATGAATGTGTAAATAAACACTGAATTTTTTAAAAGAAAAAAATTAAAAACAATACTTTTGGCATAGATTTGTACAAGAGTATCCAAGATTAAATGGAAATTAACTTTTCCCAGAGAAAACTCAATATCTAGTCATATACATATAAAAAGCTTATTGTTCAGGTCTGAATATTTATTTTGTCCACCTCTAATAATGCCCAAATACAGGCATAAAATATTGGATTTCATTATTGACTTTCAAGTTTGGAAAATTCCCTGATTTCATTCATACAGTAATTCCATATGCCCGGAAACATGATTGTATAAAACATGAAGCACCTCTTTTATAGTTCAATGTAAGATAATTCCATATGAAACTGCTTCAGAAATCATTTACATATACATCAAAAGGTAATATCATCGTGATTGTAAGGCAAACATGCCTTGTCACTTGTCATATAAATAGCTTTCAATGGTACCTATTATCACCACGTTTTTTTTCAAAAATAATATTCACTATTTTCATTAAATATGTAAAAATAAAACAGGAAATTTCCTGTGGGTATTTTTGGGGTTATTTTAATGAATATATCAGAGATAGTCCTATCATATTGCAACATTGAGTTTGTGCACACTGGGTTTCCGATATTATTTATTTATCCGGGTGGTCTTTCTGTACTTTAAAAATCAGATAACCGGAAGCGAGCGAACGAAGCTTCAAAACATTAAGGTCAGGGTGCATGATGAAAAATTTTCTGCATTCCTCAATTGAGTCACATGTTATTTTTCAAACAAGAATCACTCCTTCCCCAAATAGTCTATATCTTCCAGTTTTGCACAAAGAGTGCACTTATGTGCCTAGAAAAGACTTGTGAGAAGAATGTTTTGATAAAGTGTATAAAAAACAAGAAAATTCAGTGAAAAAATTTAGAAAATTTTCAGAAATTTTTTTCACTGAATTTTCTCGTTTTTTATATATTTTACAAAACAAATCTTCTCACAAGTCTTTTCTAGGCACAAAGATGCACTCTTTGTGCGAACCTGGAAGATATGAACAATGTGTGGAAGGAGTGATTCTTGTTTGAAAAATAACATGTGACTCAATTGAGGGATGCAGAAAATTTCCCATCATGCACCCTGACCTTAAGCGTGTATTCTACTGTATTTTCATCACCAAATAACTTAAAAGTAGCAATTTAGACGTACTTTTGGACGCTCTTTCGATCTAGGTAGGTGAAAACATTCACAAACTTGTCAATCGACCTGAAAATGAGCAATTTCTTTGTCGAAAAAAATGCCTCAATTCAACTCCTTTTCTCGACTTTAAATATCGATAGAGTTTAAATAATTTGCTTCAAAGCACAAGATAGCTCCATTCCAAGTCGACTGACAACGTTATTAATAATCATACATGCTGTCATTCATTCATAATTAGTGGATTTTGGATGCGTACACTTCCGGGTTAATCCAAAGTTGACAAAATCAAATTCACTTCCGGAAATGCGCAGTGGGCCAAAATTGGTCGTAACATCTTGACTGGATGTATGATGGGAATAGGACATCTGCTTGGAAAGGAATTTTCGCTATGGCCACTGAATTAAAAATGGCCGCCAAAGGGGCTCTGTTGAAGGAGACATTTTCAATATGGCCATCATTTTTCATGAAAACATAATCTTTGATAACTCAAATACTAGTGGACAAAGATGAAAGCTGAATTTCAAAATGGCCGCCATTTTCATAAAAACTCTATTCTTTGATAAGTTAAATAGCAGTGGACGGAATTGATCCAGATTTTATATGCTGATGCCTAAAGCTCTGCTCAAGAAGAAATTTTCAAGATAGCCACTATTTATCAAAACAGCCACTGTTTGTCATTAAAAATGTTATCTTTGATACACCAAATACCAGTACAGTCAACAGATTTGTTTCAAATTTTAAATGCTGATACTTAGGGACAAAGGAACTCTGGTTGAGAAGAAATTTTCAAGATGACAGCTGAATTTCAAAGTGGCCGCCATTTTCATAAAAAATAGCAGTAAACGGATTCGATCCAAATTTTATTTTTAAAGTTAAAGGATATCTGCTCAAGAAGAAATTTTCAAGATGGCTGCTATTTATCAAAATGGACACTGCTTGTCATTAAAAAAATGTAAACTTTGATAACCCAAGGAGCTCCGTTCAAGGAGAAATTTTCAAGATGGCCATTTCTTTATCAAAACATGTTTTGTTCGGTGGGATTTGTTAATCCTTGAAGTTGCTGTTTTCTAGTTTAGGCTTTGAATTAGTGAGATTAAAACATTTGCATTGTATGATTTACAATGTTTGAATTTAGAAAAGAGTAAACTGTCAACATAGAATTTCTTGTAATAACGTGTATAAATAGACTAATAGCAAACATTTCTTGTTTTGCTATTATGATTACATGTATATATAATAGCGCTGTTTATATTCTATAGAAGGCTATTTGTAAACATTTTAATATAAATCTATTTATTAAAAACTGTAGATCATATTATTGTAAAGCTTAGTTATTATTATATCATTGATATTCCTAAGTTATTTTTTGTATAATTAGTAGTGTCATTGAACTTAACAGGTTGACAGATATACCAGTTATACAAGTATACATATTATTAAGACCTAGTTGATGTATAACACATAGTTGTTCTTATTTAGGTTGCGAAAGACTCCTCGTCAATAAAGATGGAGCTACCTGCCAAGATGGAGGAACTTGTTGAATATTCCAGAAAATTCTCTGATGTGCCGATAATAGTTGAAGTCTCAAATGCATGTCTGTTCCTGGTTTGTATTTAAGTTATTTTATATTTTAACAAATTCATACACACATGTATTTAACCTCATACCAATTTTATTAAGAGTAGATATTCAAAGGAAATGTATCCCACAAGAAGGTCAATGTTTAGGGGAGTTGTTATTTTGGGGTCATGGACATGATAAAAACGCCAGGGCATTCAGATTAATATCTGACTTGAACTGAATGTTATGCCCGATAACCTGATTTTCAATTTTCTAGGGATGATGTTATCTAGAAATTGCTCTTTTTCATGAACTAATGGAATAGAGAGATCAATTTAATTAAGAGAGAAAGATGTCGGCTGAGAATCTTCTATATGCATGTATGTTTAATGCCAATTTAATTCTTTTTTTTTAGATTCGTATACTACTGGGTATTGAGCATCACATTGAGCCGTCACCATTGAAAACACGTGCCCAGAGGTCTCAACTTGGGGAAAAGATATCACATGGCGATCAGGATAACAAACAATTCATCAAGATTTTGGACATCATAAAGAATGCCTTAGTGAGGTACTTTGAGAAAAGGTATGTTAATTGGAGAATTTTAACTCTTCATTAATGGAGCATTTTTGATTGCTTTTTATGTCCCCACCACAAAGTGTGGGGCCATATTGTCGGCCTAGGCGCGTCCGTCTGTCTGTCCGTCTGTCTGTCCGTCTGTCTGTCCGTACGTCCGGCAGTTTTCTCCAAAACCGCTACAGATATCACCTTCAAATTTTCAGGGATAACTTATGAGTGCATACAGTTGTGGATGAAAAAAAATTAACTCGATACCTACTTCCTGTCGGCCATTTTGAAGTCAAATGCTAAAATCCTTGTCTGCAAACTTTAAGAAAAACGGCTTCACAGTTGCTTTTAAAACTTTAATATCTTGTTCAGCTCACTTCATTCTAGATCTGATTAGGTTTTGGACCTGTTAGCTCAGTCATGTCAGCCATTTTGAATGTTTTAAGAAAAGTTAGCGCACGATAATACTTTGTATCATATTGAATGGTGTTTTTCAGTTTTCATACTTAAACTATTTCTTAGCTTTATAAATAATTTCAGGTGTACTTTGTTGTAAAAGCCTATGTTATTGTTAACAGTAGTTATATGTGATAATTTTGTAAAAAGAAATCAGCAAAAACTCATAATCACTTTTTTATTGTCGGCCATTTTGGATTTTTCCATCCTAAAATCTTGTCTGTAAAGTCTTGTCTACGCGTTTTCAGGTCAACCGTTTGGTAAATCAATTTCAAATTTTCAGGGATGATTGTTAGTATGAAAATCTAGATCTGATTAGTTTTTGGGCATTCTGGGTAAATGTCAAGGCAGCCATTTTGGATTTTCCGTCCTAAAATCTTGTCTGTAAAGTCTTGTCTACGCATTTTCAGGTGAACTGTTTGGTAGATCAATTTCAAATTTTCAGGGATGATTCTCAGTATGAAAATCTAGATCTGATTAGATTTTGGGCATTCTGGGTAAATGTCAAGGCAGCCATTTTGGATTTTCCGTCCTAAAATCTTGTCTGTAAAGTCTTGTCTACGCATTTCCAGGTGAACCGTTTGGTAGATCAATTTGAAATTTTCAAGGATGATTCTCAGTATGAAAATCTAGATCTGATTAGTTTTTTGGCATTCTGGATAAATGTCAAGGCAGCCATTTTGGATTTTCCGTCTTAAAATCTAGCCCGTAAAGTCTTGTCTACGCGTTTTTAGGTGAACCGTTTGGTAGATCAATTTCAAATTTTCAGGGATGATTCTTAGTATGGAAATCTAGATCTGATTAGTTTTTGGGCATTCTGGATAAATGTCAAGGCAGCCATTTTGGATTTTCTGTCCTCAAATCTTGTCTGTAAAGTCTTGTTTACATGTTTTCTGGTTAACTGTGTGACGGATCAATTTCAAGTTTTTCAGGGGTGGTTCTTAGTATAAAAATCTGGCATTCTGGGTAAATTTTAAGGCAGCCATTTTGGATTTTCCATCCTCAAATTGTGTCGGTAAAGTCTTGTCTACTCATTTTTAGGATAACCATTTGACGGGATCACCCATTGGTGGGGACATTTTGTACACATTTGTGTTCTTGTGTCATATTTCTTTTAGCTAATATACGATTATTGTAATGATGTTCGTTTTGATAATAAAACTGAACAGAGATATATCACACAAATTTGAATACATACTTTGTGTAAATTGAGCAAAATTAGAGCGAATTCAGGGAGAAATTTCTTGACTGATGTATCTGTCACTCTTGGCTTTCAAGGAGTTAAATTGAAAAGTCTGCATTGCAGGCAGGCAGGAAAGAAGCATTGTATGAGGTCAATGGTTTGTTGGCAAAAATTTAAAAAAGACACAAACCTGGCTAGTTCATTTGATGAATCCCACACATAAATTATTACATTTCATAAACTGTAGATGTGTTCACCAAACTAAAATTTTTATTCTTTAGTTATTTCACATGCATAGATATTTCTTTTATTGTATTACATCAAAGCATATAATTGTTTCATTGCAGAGACAGCCACTTCAATCACATGTTCTTCTGCAATCTCTTTGAGAGACAACCAGTAAGTGATGTTTTTATGCAACAGCTTCTTCATGTTTCTTAAAATCAAAATTTATGCACATAGCTATCCTGGACTATAGCCTTTTTGAATTGACTCTATATTATGCAGAATTCCTTTATTCAAAGTTTTAGAGTTTTTACAGTATAATCTGATTGTTTCACATATGATCATTGCGTTTCAGTCAATCATAACTGCATAATTGATTTTTATTGATCATGTGTGCTGTTTTCAGATGTTGATGTGGCCACTAGCTACCACCCTGCTGGAGTATGGGACAGGGCATGATATCCGAGTGTTCACTAAGGTAGTACAGAAATATATACATTAGTTCTACCATGTTTTATTGGTTCACAATGGTTCATCAAGATAAATCCCAAAAATTGCCCAAAATGCTTAAAACTCTCTATGATAATTTTTATATACCTAATCCCTCATTATGTGAAATGACTGAAGTTTTACATTACAGCAAAACCGAACACCTCTCTAATCTGAACACTTCTAAATGTGAACACTTTTTGCAGGGGATTTTTCAATCTGCCCTAGACATGTTAAAAACTTGAAATGAGAACATTTGCCAATCTGAACACTTTTGGTTGTTCAGATAAGGCAAACAATATAATTTTTATCTTAATGTTTTGCAGAGCCAGGCTTGCAGTATGCTCTCAGGTCTCATTTCAAAGAAATTGGTAAGTTCCACGATTTCGTCGATTATTTTCCCCAAAATTTCCATGTTTCCCTTCATGTTTAAGCTTGATGCCTTGTAAAGCAGAGATATCACCCTGTCTTCTCCAATGCTGCTTACTATCTGAAATAGATCAATTTCTATTAAGATGCATAAATAGATGGCAGGACCTGCCATTTTGGTAAGGCGTAATACAGTATGACAGGTATACGAACAAGTCACATTGAATTCTTGATTTATCAGTTATTTCATCTGAACCAATGTCTTTATTATAAATTATAACCAATGTCTATGTTATATAGGGCTCCAAGCTGGAAATTGATTTTAGGTCTTTTTCTTGGTTTTGGGAAAAACAGCTTTTTCCTATTTGAACCAACCAGTCATTTGGTACCATTTTTATGTCACTAAGATCTCTAACTTTTTTGTGAGCAGTGTTTGGTGGTTGGTGTTTGACATTCTGTGGTTGGTGTTCGATGATTGGCTTTGGATGTCTTTAACAAATGGCAGGTGGTGACATTTTGTATGTTAATGCCTTATTCTAGGTCTCTATTCAAACCAGCGTACCTTGCCTGATTACTTCAGTACTTATTTATAACCATGATGGGCATGTATATTAATAGCTTGGATTAATAGCATTCATCTTTGTACAGCAACAAAGCATCTAATGTGAATCAAACGAGGCATTCTTGAACTCATTAGAGATTTAATTATACTCCATTGGTTTTTGATCTATCATGGCCACTGTTTATCAATGGTATAACTCCTTTGAGGGATATAACCCATATAACCCTAAAAGCAGATATGCTTTTGTTTCTATTTTACTTGTATATTTGAGATGAACTAAAGACCCTTGAAACATATTATTATGAAATATATTGTATTGTTCAAACAGCTCAAATTGTTTGCTGTATATTTTTGCTTGCACAAAAATGATGAACTAAAGACCCTTGAAATACTATTAATAAATATTGTTCAAATGGCTCAAATTATCTACCGTAGTTTTAACAATAGAGTTCAAACATATAACTACCCATTGCTTAAAGGAGATTTATTAACAACAACGAATAAAAAGAAAAAAAGAAAAAAGCAATGTTCATGTTTTGAAACAATTCAATATCTTATCAGTATTCAAATCATATATATCAGAAACGTTATTATAGATAAGTTTGTTATTCCCAGATGGGAATTGATTACAAATATTTTAACAAATGGTGGCATAGTTTGGGTACTTGTAAACAATAGTGTCAGTTACTTCAATCAATTCTAATCTGATGAGCAAATAACATTGCAAACAAAATTTTATCTCTGTTCTTTATATGGAGGCAGGTTGGTGTTCAAGTTGAAAGATTTAATGCATTGGCCAGGTTTGTAGCCAGGTGGAGATTTGATTGATTTGATTGTTTGTTGGTTGGTTGGTTGAAGTGACCCCCCTGACCTGAAATTCTTTCAAAATCATGTAGTTTTTCAACATTTTTAGCACTAATTTTCAAGTGATTTTAAGCCAGAATTGTCCTTTGAGATTGAACCCCCTGGAATTTTTTAAAACGGAATCCCCTTTTCAAAACCGTGCCACGAGTCTGTTGACTCAATAATTTAGTTAAAATGTATTCACTTCAATGGTTGAGCAAAATAAAAGAGTAAAGGACCAGGTATGGTATTGAGAATGATTTAAGACCGTCATATATTTGACCATTGGGATTTTCTCACAATGCTATATCATTTTTCATCAAAATAATGTTTTCCTCTTAGTTAAGTCTTTTTTGGGGTTCTAAATAATGCGTTTTCAGAGAGTTCGATGTATATAAGGGGGGATTTTTATTATCCTGATAGCTCTACCTTGATGAAAAATATTATTTTAGGAATGATCCCATATTTATGGTCAGAATATACTAATTCTCAAAGATAGGACTGTCCTAATTCACCATACTATACATAGTGTTTTTCATTCTAGCAAATTTGAGGCTGATCTGAGTTCAGCTTGGGATTGATTATTGAAGATCTATTTGAGTGCCTACCTAATATTTTTGCCAATAACGTGGTATTATGTTTCAACTTGCAATTTTATCTATTTATAGAAATCTGTTACCGTTCTTATGTAAAAAGAATCAGGTTGTTTAATGTATAAAACACTCATGAGTAGCAGATCAATATAACTTCATTAATTTAGATCCCCTTAGAATGCTCCTTCAAAGAAGAAGCATTTACAGAAAAACTATAAGTAGTTTAAACCTTTGGAACATTTACTCTACTTCTTTGTTTGCAATTATCATTCCAAGCAATTTACCTCAGAATGATAAGCTAATGATAATTTTTATGTTTGCTTAATGCAGTTACGGTCTTCCCAGCATTGGTGCTATCTGGTGTTCCCCTACTGAAAATCCAAAGATTATATACCACCTTGACAAAAAATTTAAAATCTGTTACCCTATTATCACACCAAACTAGTTCTCACTACGTTCTCGAAAACGGGGTTTAACTGTGCACGAACAGATTTGACGTACTAAGAACCAACTAAGAACCGTTTGGGATCTGTTTACAAACTTCATGAAACTACTAGAACGAGTAGGTCCTCCAGCATTTAGAGCATGCTCAAAATTTTCTGGTGATCGTCAACACGTTGCCGAATCGGTTTTAAACTGTGTGTGAACTGAATGAACGTAGCTGCAACGTTTGACGGTCTGTTTACGAACTTCATGGACTTTCCCGGACGGGGTATGTGATTTAGAATTTTGAATCGATTCAAAATTCGATGGCGACCATACCATTCTGTAATCAGGTCATGATGACCTTCTAGACTAATGGACAGTTTATACTACGTTGCACACCGACGTGGTGCGACCTGAACGAACTGCGACTGAGATGGACGTATTGAAGACTGTTTATGAACGAAGTAGCTAATTATTTTAGACATATATCCCGACCGCAGCCAGATTGAGCCCGTTTTACGACATTTTCGTAGGACTGGCAAGAACGGGTAAGAACTAGTTTGGTGTGATAGGGGGGTTAGTACCCTTTCAAAATGATGAAAAATGGCAAAATTTTGATTAAAACATGTAAAATTAGAACTATTAAGTGCCCTGTCGAGAAAAAACCTTGGGACGTCACTGTGATGATAACTGCAAGGGAAGTGTTTACTCATAGACAGCAAATACTTGATCTAATTAACAGGCTCATAATTAATTATTAGAAACTAAGAACAAAATCAACATTACTCTTAAGAGGCAGATCCGTTTAAGATTGGAATCATATTTTATTTAAAAATTGGATTGAATAGAAAAGGTTCTGTTCATACATTTGTATTCGTTAAACAATTGTTTTTTTATCTGGTATTAATGTGGCGATGTTCATCCTATCTTAAGAACATAACTATCTTGTGGGAGTTGTAATGAAATGGGGTTTATTTTTTCAAATGACTAATTTTACTGTCTCGTATAAAAACTGTGTTCTCCCACATAATTTTTTTGCAAAATTCTATTTTTATCACCATCTGTCCAGAATTGGTCAAAATATGGAAAAATATTCCATAATAGTAAGTCTTCTTGATATGTATATTGTTGTGTTTCCACCAGAAGCGGTGAAATTGTTACAGTCTCCAACTTTTTTGTGGACGGTGTTTGGCATTCTGGGTCCAGTGTCTGTAACACATCATCTGTAACAAATGGTAGGTTGTGACATTTCACATGTTAATGCCTTGTTCTATCATTACATGGTCTGAATGTTTCTCAAAAAGCGTCAAGGTTTATTCACCAATTACCAAACTTAAATACATCCTAATCTCTTAAGATCCTGATAATAAGGGAAGGATGTATGTACGATCGAAAACCATTTACTTCTCATTTCTTAAGTTCAAAACATGTTTCTCAAGAACAGTCCGTGTTTTATCTACCTATAATTGAATTAATGCGTCCTTATCTCGTAAGATCCTAATCAGGATGTAAATAATAGCAAACAGCATTTTACTCCTCTTCTTTTGTGACCTTCATAATAATAAACTCCATGATGCATTTATGAAGTATGAAATTGAATTCTCGATAATCTGTAATTTCATCTATTTATATAAAAAATGTGTTTTGTTGAATAAAACCTTTAAAGATGAATGACCGAATTTCTCCTCCTTCTATACAATCAAAATTATATATTAAATATATATCATACAATACTCGGTATAATCAGGGGCATATCTAGGATCAATTTAGGGAAGTAAATGTAAATAGGCTACGAGGAAAATTAGGCTAAAAGACGTTTATTACCACTTTTAGACTTCATTCCCCCATTTCTATTGAAATTGTCAGAATTAATTTCTTAATTAAAATTATAGTGAGGTTGTTGCCTTGCCTACCTACCTAGCCTGGGCTTCTTTCTGGTACGACTGTAAGTTACTATTCATAGAAAACCATTGTCTACCTTTTGACGAATAGTGACTAGCAACCAAGTCGTAAGTTACAACATTTCAAAAACAAACCCCTGATTACTACACCAATGCTAATATAATGAGAGAATTATCCAGTTTCATCAATGCAGTTTTTGATGTTTTTTATGCCTGTAATTACAATGTGTGAAATTAGAGTCTTGTGATTATTACGAATTATTGACTTCTTATGTTGACTTCTGTGATGATATTGACATAAACTATATTGGCATGTACTATATTGACATAAACTATAAAGAATGTGTACTGTATACAATTATTGACCTCTCCAGAGGTTTACTGTCAAAATTATCGAGGGATATAATTTTGACAGTAAACCGAATGGAGAGGTCTATAATTGTTTTGTTAGTCCGAAGAATATCTTAGATTTTTCTGACCCTTGAAGTTGACTTGAAGTTGGATCCAGACCCTCGAGACGTTCATGGCAAACATCTGCCACGGCAGTAAGTTCACTCAATGGAGTCAAATTACTCTCCTGGGCGAAGTCCACTAAAAGCTTTGTACAAAGTTTTAGATTTTTCTTCGTATTTTGACTGTCTTTACTCTCTAAGAGACTAATAATAGCCTCATCTTAAACATTTTTGAAACGGCTAGTTCTAGCGGCGGCCATTTTATCGTCTGATAATGACGTCATTTTAGTGGAATGCTGGGAATATTATTCACCGGCAATGTATTGCGCGGTGTACAGTTAAAATTATTCACCGCTCGTTGACCAATCAAAATCGAGTATTTCAACTGAGGTACTAACAATACAGAATGTTATCCTGTGATTTGAGCGATTTATTTCATCTTAGGCTATTTATGATAAAGCCTATTATTTGTGTTTGATGCTTCAATTGGACATGCATAGTCGGTCATAAAATTGGTTAATCCGTCAGCCGGCAGTTGAATTTGTGGATGCTACCTAATTTTTTATATGATTTGGTCTAAGGGTATTTTAATTCTTTCATATAGCTGCTATTACAGTTTAAGCCCGATCTTGAAGGATGGATCTGGATAAGGTTTTCATTCATAAAGGACCCAAAATCAATAGCTTATTTATTACCCTTATGTCTTTATGAGATATAAATCCAAATGTTCAAGTCTCATTTCAGTTCTCTTGAAATACTAATTATGGCATAATGACTGACAAATAAGACCCATAGATGTCATAATGAACTGATAAAGGCCCATGAATGTCACTTTGACCTGACACAATACCATAGATGTCAAAATGAACCTACACAGTCCCATACATGTCACATTGAACTGAAACAGACCCATGGATATCACATTTAACTGTCCTTAGCCCTTGAATGACATATTGAGCTGTCAAAGACACTTTGATGTCATATTGAAATGTCACAGACCTGTGGATGTCACACTGAACTAATACAGATTCTTTGATGTCATATTGAAATGTCCCAGACCCATTGATGTCATATTGAGCTCTCAGACCCTTTGATGTTATAGTGAAATATCACAGACTAATAGATGTCTTATTGAACTGACCCAGAACCATTGATGTCATATAAAAATGTCACAAACCCATATATGTCTTATTGAATTGTTCAAGACCGATAGATGTCCAATTGAACATACATATGCCTTTTGATGTCACATTTACTGACAGACCCATACATGTCAAATTGAACTTACACAGACTCATGTATTTAACATTGAACTGATACAAATCCATAGATGTATCAGTAATTTTACACAAATCTATAGATCACATTAAACATACACAGATCATAAATAGGACTAATCATGTCAATAATGACCTCATATTCACAGATTTGAATTAATGTGGGTGTCCTTGTAGCCTTATTTTCTGTGTAAATCCTTTCATTAGTATTTCTTAGAACTTCTGTATTGGGCTTTCTGAGATTTCTGTTTACTTTATTTGTGTGTTGTCACTTTTTGTCCAATTTTTCTGTACCTTAAATGAGCTGATTGTGTAGATAGATATAGAAGACTATGTAAATAATCACTTGAAGTATCAAAAAATTTTATGTCACCCCCAGAAATGGTGACGTTATAGTCTCCAACATTTTTGTGTATTGTGTTTGGTGGTTGGTGTTTGATGTTTGGTGTCTATAACAAATGGTAGGTGGTGACATTTTGCATGTCAATGCCTTGTTAGAATTTGATTCTTGGTGCATCATAAATAAAATAGTTTAAAGTTTCATCTAATTGTCCATATTTGGATCTTTCAGAATTTTTATTCTTGTCCTCACCAAAAATGTATCTATCTCTACCAGGAATCTATAGTGAAATCATAGCTAAGAACTAGAGAATCACTAGTCATACATATACACTAGTGAGTATTTATTTGGCAGTGTTGACTTTTATCACCCAAAAAATTTGTCTTGCAGATTTTAACCACAAAAATCTATATATGAAATCTGGTAGCTGGAATTAATTCTTGCTTTTTTATGTCAGTAAAATATTCTCAGCTAGTGTCATGTTTCGATATTGTTGTTACAATATTTGAACAATTACAAATGATAAATTGTTACTTTATGGCATTCGAAGCTTTATTTGTCTTTTTATATATTCATATATTCATGTACTTTATTGTCTCTTCGACATTTAACGTTAAAAATTGCAATTAATTTGCGATAAAAATGTATGGATTTTCTTTACTGAGAACCAACAACCAGGCACCAATGCTTTCATAAGAATTGCTGTCGTTCTAGAATTTATTAGCTTGTTGAACGCGTTTTCATTAAATTAATTTTCCGCATGTGAACTGTCACGCTAGAATGATTAATTGAAATAAAGATATCTTAGAAATATATTTGTATTCTTTAATATTTGAGTTAGAAACTTAAGATAGAAATAGTTTGAAGCTATTTGTCTCCATTTATCATACTAATATAACAGGAGGATCCTCTGATTTGTTGGATAATTCTGCAACTTAAATATTCACTTCAATAACTTCTATACTGATAAAATGAGGATTATTAGGGAAACATTTGCATGCTTTTAGGATTGCTCCCAAACACTCTCTATGATCATATGAGCAAATGAAGGTAAAATATAACAAAACTAGATGATAAAAAGTATACATTTTTTTGTATTCTGAAAAAATAAAAACGAGTGGCAGGTCTGGTATTAAGGAATAATCCTTGTAAGAAAGAAAGCACAAATACCATATGTACATCAGCTACTTATTGTCTTTATGTGTTCTGAAAACAACGATTCGTCAAGTCCAATAGTTTCTTTTGATAAGCAGAGTAATTTCTTGAACGCCAACTTATAGTCCTTATTTTTCCATGAATATATAATTGGGTTAACGCATGAATTGACGACCCCTAGTAACGGTGCAATTGTGTAAGCGATAGACCTGCTGGAATATACATTTGATGCATGGAGAAATAATAGTACAAAAACGGGGGTCCAGCAAAATAAAAACAGTCCTATGACAACGGCAAAAAGTTTCGCTGTTTTTAATTGTTTTGAAAATGAGATTTTTGGTTTTGATTTTGAGGCATTTGTTGGGTTATTATTAGCTGGCGTGGTTATTGACTCAGCTTGAATTTGTCTCTGTTGTTTCAAAGCCACTATAAGTATTTGTCCGTAGAGCACAATCATCGCTATCATGCAGATGAAATGCTGAGTCCCAAGAACGCACGCTAAAAAGTATTTGGGAATATGATGAAAGAATGTGCAGAGTTGTTTTGGGTTGCTCCTAGTATTGTACCAAAAGAATGGTACCATGGCGATCATGACACACCACATCCAAGTTATAATCATCATAATTGGGACAGTCCTATATGTGATCCATTGATGGTATCGTAACGGTTGCGTTATCGCAATGTATCTATCAACAGCTATGAGTATCAAGTTGTAAATAGAAGCTGCACTGGACAGAAAAAATGTAAAATATTTAAACGAGCACATAAAGTTGGACCAACCCATTTGTGGTACAAACTCGTAGCATGCGTGAAGCCACATAGTGAATCCCATGAATAAGTCAGCAATAGCAAGGCTTGCAATAAGAATCCCCGTTTCTGTTTTTAAACGACGAAATTTACGAATCGCAGCCACAGTTAAAGTGTTACCAAATATAATGATAAATCCGAGAATTATTTGAGCAATGCCAGTCAGGATTTGTGTTAAAGTTAATGTTGTTGTTGTTGTACTACTTTGTGTTGTAATCACATTTATTGTTGTTGTTTTTGTGAAATTCCATTCTGTGTTCATCTCCATCAGTATTGTAGTTGTGTTCATTGTAGTTGTATTCATTGTTCTTTTAATGTGATAATCATCAGGTCATTATAAATACATTTGCATCTCCGTGAATAGCGACCTTCCCATCTTGTAAACAAGATCAAGTATAATTACTTAGCTGTTAATTCAATTATTATTCGTGGCACTTTAACAATAAACAGTTATCATCAGATATTAATTGAATTTCCTTATTTTTAATGTTTCAAGTCATGTATGATTAATTTATTTAAAGAATATCCTATTTTTGTTTTTTTGTATATATCATGTCACTTGATTGTTCCTCCATAAAACTTGTGGTACTTGATTTCATTGACAGCCTGTCATGGTTTCCAAATCCATGTTTCTGATTGTATTCATTTTCGGCTTCCTCAAGTTAAATTATCTTCTAGGTTCCCTAATCCAATGATAGACTGTCTTTACCTACATAATCCTGCCACATAAGGCATTGGCTGTAAACACGTTTAACGTAGATAAAACTCTTTAACGTTCTATTGACGAATGCATCTCTTGTAATATTATATAAATGTGATGTTTCGTCATTAATTCCTAGCACGGTTCTCTGTGATTAGTGTACTGAATTAGCCAATCAGGTTCTGAGGTATTAGAATATAGGTAGATTAATTTAGGTATAAGAGTGTCGTTAACCTGACTACATTTCACATATTGTTCTAGCCAATCAAGGAGACAACAAAAATCATAGAGCTCAATAGAATATTAATGCATCTCCGGTAAAAAATATTCAATTTAATCATGCAATTGATCGAGTTACTAATCTGCCATTCAGCTGACGTATACTACCACACGTTAATTGTTGAAACTTCCTCTTTCAATGAGTTATTTTCATCATTGATTTATCTTATATTAAAAACATTTTATGATATAAATGTCAATTGTCAGATCGTGTCAGATGTTTATTTTTAATGCATTCTTATTTCATTAATTTCTTGTTTTGTAAAAGAATTTTGATTCCTCTTTAGAGATCATTGGGTGTCATATTCTTCAGTTTTCCAGAATGAGATGTATTTCGACACTTCTTTTGATTTCACGTCTATTAGTATATAAATGTAAAATACAAAACGGATCTGATATTTTATCAAAGGGAAATACAATAAAGAAGATAATCATGATATCACTTTTATTCTGACGCTTATTGTTCAATGTAATAAAGCCTGTTTCTGTTATAAGACTGACTTATAAAGTACAGTGAAACAATCCATAACCTGCATTTTGAATAGAAAGATACAGAAAGACAGTATATATCCTAGATATGTTTTTAATTGGAGAGAGGATATGGTTAGGTCAAGGTTATTTGACAATTTTTTGAGGTAAAGTGACAAATTGTGTCAAGGTCAATTGACAAACTGTGTCAAGGTCAGTTGTTGTTTTAAGGTCAATTGACAAACTGTGTCAAGTTTAATTGACACTCTGTGTCAAGGTCAGTATACAAATCTTTCAAGGTCAATTGACAAACTGTCAAGGTCACATGAAAAACTGTCAATATCAATTGACAAACTGCCAAGGCCAGTATACAAACTATATCAAAGTCAGTTGACAAACTGTGTGTGTCAAGGTCAGTTGACAAACTGTGTGTGTCAAGGTCAGTTGACAAACTGTGTGTGTCAAGGTCAGTTGACAAACTGTGTGGGTCAAGGTCAGTTGGCAAACTATGGTAAGGGTGTTTCAATGTGAGTAGGGGCAGGGGCCCACAGAGTTTTGGTTCTGCTACACGTAAGCAATGAAAAAAGTATATGTTTGATGTAAATATAGTTTGTAGAGAACACGGATTCCACTACACTACTGTGCTCCCAAGAAAGAGTTACATTGTACCTACGTATTTTATGAGAATTCTAATGTCTCTATTACAAGTTAATGTTTGCGTCTATGGCAGCTTTGACATTTGATCAGGCTATAATCCCTTGGAAAACAATTTTATGTTTTATTATTGAGGTGGTTGGTGGTGACGTATTGTTTCTAACTTCTGTTGTGGATGGTGTTTGGCAGTCGGTGTTTGGCAGTCAGTGTTTGGTAGGCAGTGTTTGGTATCTGTAACAAATGGCAGGTGATGACATTATGCATGTTAATGCCTTATTTGATTTATGAATTACTCCAAAGTGAGATCTGCAGAGTTGGTGAAGCATGGGGAATTATGATCAGTGCTTGGGGGAATTATGATCAGTGCTTGGGGGAATTATGATCAGTGCTTGGGGGAATTATGATCAGTGCTTGGGGGAATTATGATCAGTGCTTGGGGGAATTATGATCAGTGCTTGGGGGAATTATGATCAGTGCTTGAAAGGTTTTATGAATTTTTTCATCAGAACGCTACTTTTGAAAACAACAAAGTTAATTGAAAACAATCAATTCTCACCTTGAATGTATTTATTTACATAGCCATTGAATTTATCGTTCACAACTTAGTGAACTTAATCTAGTTTATTATAGCTGTTCAATATGTTTCATCTGCTTGGTTTTATTGTCTTATAAATGCTTTTTATGCATTTTGCATTTTAACAGCTATATTGTGCACACGTGTGTTGACCTGTAATACAAATTATACAGAGGTCATGCATTGAGATGGAAAAGAGATGTAAAAGACTATGACAAGCAAGGAAAAAATTAACAAGAATTTAGCCAACACTCTAAATTGTGTAAAATGGCAGAAAAGTAGGCAGTTCATTCAAGTTGTATAGAAGAAAACTAAGGAATATGCATATCTGCTATGATTATTTTCTTACGGGTATTTTCAATAGATTATAAATTCAGTTTTAACATCAACTTATATTAATGTTCAAAAGTTACATGTCGTTGATCGGATGTATGTGATTAAAGGTCAGTGTCTGGAAAAGGGGATCATATCAAAAGCTTGAAAATCCACTATCTTCCAATAGAAGATAAATTGTTGACTGTTTTCAAAAAGGTGTATTATTTCCCAAATGATAAGCTGGAGGAGACTTCTTTAATCTGTATGAAAAAAGCGATAACTATGTGTTTCCATCCCAGTTTTTCCACAACTACCAGTATTTTGACACTTTCCCTCATAGACACCATTTTGCATCAATAATAATCGATAATCGGCCAAGGATATGCCGATACAAGCCTCTTATCTGTCTTTCATTGAAACAACTATAAATTAATTATTTATAAAACTTGTATTTATTACAACATTACGTCCCCCATGCATACTTAGTGATAAGTACTTCCTTCTATGTCGACACGATCATTCTCGCATCATTTCTATTTTTAATATTTTATGCAACAAATTGTCTAGAGCTATTATTTTCAGAAAATAGGGTTTGTTCTAATTTATATTGTTTCTAAGTATCTGAAGTGGGTTTATTCTTTTTTATGATTAGATTTTAACATTCACAATAGATTAGTAAGCGATAATTACTTTTTTGCCTGTCCCAGGTGAGTCTTCTCTCGTCAGCGTTATTTAAAAATGTGACATAACTTATTCTCTAGAAATTCTCTATAGTTCCCATTGTATTTATATTGCGGTTCTTAGAACCTCAAATGGGTTCTAGAAAGTATTAGGTAATCATAAATTCTTAAAAGCCGGCTTTGGCATTTCTGTATGAAAGGAAAATAATTAAAAGGTGCATCTTCATTGTTTATATCTCCTTATGGTGATTATTGTCCTTTTAAACATGTCTAGCCAGTCTAATACAGCTGATGCCTTTTAATTGCACTTTCCAAGATTGCGTTATTGTTCTGATAGGTGGCTAGACGTCTGGCTGGGTGAGTTTAAATCTTGTCATCAATTCTAGGAAAATTGCTTTTCAATTTAGAATTTTTACAGATTCAAGAGCAGCCTATGCTCACATCTGGTTTTGGGCTCTTTAGTGTGATATCTATCATTATGTTTCTTGTTCTTATTAGGTGCCAGCTAATGATTTTCAACTTTAATGAATCAGGCTGTTTCTGCATGCATTTTTCATCGTGCATATTTGTTCAGATATACCCGTATATCAAATCAGTTTCAGATTTGAAAACAATGGCAACAGGCAGCTGAAACATTTATTTGATGTATGAGTGTATTGAATGAATTGCATCTGCTGTCCTAGCTTTTACTGTCATTGTAATTAACTTTAAGAGATTGGTTTATAGGCTTCCTACATATCAATCTTATTCCTTCTTCACCTCTTGTGAATACAGTGGAATAGCCTTGGATCTGGGTGTGACTCAGGCTTGGTATTGTTTTCTGCAGTTTTATGTTTTCATTTATTTCATTTAGTTAAGTGTTTTGATTACACTTGTCATTTCCTAACTGCCCCTGTTTACTGCATATTTTTTCCTGTCCTAGATTTAGTGAGCGTCAATACGGATGTTATATTTTCCAGGTATAGTATGAGAATACATCTTCTACATGCATTCTGACATGTATTGGGATGTGACTCATGACCTTGAAAACTGCAGTTAGTCATGAAGTTTGTGATATTCTGTTAGTCTTAATTTTTTTGTGTTTTTGGCCTTCTAATTGATGAAATCTATGAAGGACATTGTTTAAGGCTTATGTACGAGTAAGATTATAGGTGACAAACACTAGTGAAATCTCATTTCTAACTGAGATGTAATAACTTGGGTTCGCTATTATTTTGTAACTAACAGTGTAGTGTGTACCCCTAGTGTGCACCCATAAAATGATATGTCATTATCACCATCTTGCAATGAATACTACTACTAATTTAGTAGGCTTATATTTTACTCTATTGACTTGAACAATAGTGCTGGAATATAGTGGTCATTATTCGCCCTAATCCAGGGTGAATAACAATTTTCTACTTAGTTTTTTGTTTTTGGTGCAGGCAACATAGCGAAATCTTGCAAGATATCAATATGTTGCCCTTTGAAATAAGGTTATTGGTATATTGCAACTTAGGCATTTCCACACACAATCTAGAAATGAAAATTGAATCAATTGACAAATTATTTCCTGTAAAAGTTGAGGTTTTCTGAAGAGTTATCTCATTGTACTTATAATTCAGTTTTATAAGGCGATTAAATCACTTCTTACACGAACAATGTTTTTCAAGTTTTGATAATTACAGAAAAGAAGATTATATCAAAGTCTATTGTTTGTGTAAGTTGCAGATCATTATGGATTGAAATCACTCTGGTTTCTTAGAATGAGAAAGAAGCTATCAATTTAGGTATAGAAATGTGTCATTCTGACCTGGCACTTTAAACTCTCATTAAGTACAGCTAATATGATTGTGTAATCTGCTAAAAGCTGAGCTGTTCCATTGCTTAATGGCTGTTACTTATTATCTGTTATTACAAATCTGTAATTAGTTAGGTGTGTCTGTAAAATGTCCATCCATAGACTCGATTGCACTTTGTATAGAAACAGGTTATTGCCACTGAGCTACATAGGGATAGATATTAGTATGGGATTACTGAACACTTCTTAGATGTTAAAAGATTTTGGTTGATTCTGATATGAAGGATCTATCACAAAAGAGTGAAACACTTCATTACTATATTGACACATGTACAGTGTCATCTTTTGCGGATGGAGGGATGTGTGTGTGGGGTACCACAAAAAATCTCTTAACCAGTAAAATTAAGAATCGGGTGCATTGAAGACATCAATTGGTTAAAAAATCAAAGACATTTCATGAATGGGTAAAAGAATCACACATTTTATTAATAATATCTTAATGGGTAGAAAACTCTGAGACATTTTATCAAAGGATTGATATTAACAAATTGGTGATTAGTGGAAGTAGCGGATAAGATCTGATTAACTTTAAATGATTTGTTATCAACTAATTGCAATTGACAAATCTGTTCTATCTGCAGGTAGAAATTCACACATAGTTAGGCAAGGTGTGTCTGATTCCAGCCAATCTGAAGATGCTATTTCACATAACTGCATTCCATTATATAACCAATAACCAACTCAAGGCAACTAGTTAACAGTTGTCAAGGTGATAACTGGACTCCTCAGATTGAATTTGATAACTTGCCAACTTGACCCTTGCAAAAGGTTTCATTGAAAATAAGTTCTTTAATGATTTTGTATCTTTTAGATGATTTGTAGAAAATACTTTTCAATGTGTGAAAAGAATTTAAGACTCGATGTATTGTGTAATGACCATTCCTTTCATGCATTGTTTCCAAAAGAATCTCTTGCAAATTTTGGAAAGCAACACCTTCAAGGAATAGTCATTCCACATTGCACCAGTGCAAGGCTTCAATCCTTCAATTTAAGTATGATAATACATACAAATATACACATAAAAAGCTTGATTATCTATATTGGTCTATTAATGTGTTCTTGTGTATTTTCAGGTGAATGAAGTAGATGGTGCTTCTTGGAAGAGTTTTGCAGGTGACATGGTGACTAAAATTCAACAGGTATTTTATTTATTTCATTGAGATCTTGTTTGTGAGCTCTGTAGTGATTGTGTCAATGAAGAGAAAGCGTGTGGTCTTAATGTCTTTGTTTCACAGCTGATTTTGAAATATTTTAGTGATTTTGCCAGTTACCTAGAAAATGCAATATAGATGGCTCTCACTCACTTGGGCCACTTAGAAGAGAAGTGTTTATGTTTTACCATGTACATGTATAATTTGTCCAAATTAAGAAACTAAAACCATATGATTTACCTTAAGTCTAGATCTTTTGCAATTTTTAGATCATTTGAGGGAATTATGAGTTTTTTATCTGAACTGATAAACGGAAAATAAAATACTAGCACCCACTCTCGTTATTATCGTAATGATAATGCAATAACGCAGATGCGAGTAGGTAGTTACCAGATTCACCACCAGGTGGCTCGTTCGGGTCAGATAGCATGGCGGGTATAGGAGAAAGTTCCCTTTAACTTAAATCACATCTGTTTTAATGGTTCAATTTTCATATGACCCTTATGCATCTAATAGTTATGCAAATTGAAATATGTCCAGTAAAAGAAAATGTTATCTATCCAATACAAGAAAAGATATTTCACTTTTTGTGATTTTGTATCATTGGGTCTATGGGGAATCAACCCGAACAAGAAGTCACATTTTCAAAAAAAAAATAAATTCAAAGTTGATAAGCAATTTTCGAAACCATATTTCTAGATGTACTTTTACATGCAGATTTCAAATATGACATCACTTTGACTGAATTTTGAATATTTAATGACGTAAATCAAGATCATTTCTACTCGCACCTAGTCTATTGCATTTCTTAAAAGTACAAAGAAGTAGTGACATCTATTTCAGATATATCAAACTAAATGTATATTATTCTTCAAAATTTACATTCAAATTATAAGGAAAACTAAATGTCCACAGCAAGAGTTAGTCTCATCCAAAAATGAGTGGGTAGTCATAAACCATCAGTTTAGCTAAACCAAGTATAATCTGGATTGTAATTTGAAGTTTCTAGCTCAATTTTGAAGGAAGTTACATCAATTTTTGTAAAATTCAAAACAAATCTTTAAAAAAATTATTTTGCTCACTTCTGCCCCCCCCCCCCAACTGAAATTTGGTGATCACACCCCCTGACCAAAAACTGGCTACACCCATGAACCCCCTTTGATAAGGGTGTGACACTAACTCAAGCGAACTCCAATTTTAGAGTTGTTTCATTTCTTTGTAGTTGTTTGCAATCTGGACTTTATTTGTTTTGTCAGTATAGATTCTATCATTGGATAGATGTCTCTTTGAGAATGAAGGAGAGATCGATGAGATAATAGTCTAAATATCATGAACTAAGAAATACCAGACTCAGATGATGAGGATTTTTTATAAACGATTAAAGTACTAAACGTTGATATGTGGGAGAGTTTCCATACTTTTTCAATTCAATTTCAATCCTTCACACACACATTCAGTTCACTCTCAGTGCACTTTGAAATTTTGAAATCCATGCTTTTAATTCAAGAATCTGATCCTAACTGTTACACCCTATGCGGCGCAAATGAGCGGAGGGTGCGGAGCTAACGGTCATTTTTGAATTTCAAATTGGGATATTTCTGAAACTAAGCCGTTTTGGGACTTCAAATATACCAAGATATGTGTATTTGACACCAAATATCAATAAAATTGTGAAAATAGTAGTGCAATTCATTTTATAGCGACGCAGTATGCCTTAAACATTTCCCAGACCTATATATTTTGAGACTATCCTTTTAATACTGCGTCCGAATAAAAATTCGGAAATGTTCTTCAGATATGAGCCCCCTCTAAATATTGGGTGCGGAGGTACGTTTATGGAGCTGCTCCGCACCCAATATTTAGAGGGGGCTCATATCTGAAAAACATTTCCGAATTTTTATAAAATCACACAGATACTGCCTGGCTTCCAAGATGCAAAAATAATTTGTATAGATAGTGTACCTTGAACACCATTTTTTTATGAATGCTGGGGACTCAGTGTTAAAAGGATAATTTCAAAAGATATAGGTCTGGGAAAGGTTTATGACACACTGCGTCGCTATAGAATGAATTGCGCTACTATTTTCACAATTGTATTGATATTTGGTGTCAAATACACATATTTTGGTATATTTGAAGTCCCAAAACGGCTTAGTTTCAGAAATATCCCAAATTTAAATTCAAAAATGACCGTTAGCTCCGCACCCTCCGCTCATTTGCTCCGCACCCAATATTTCCCACAGGCTCTGTCTGCATAGGGTGTGTTATAGCCATTATTTTTGTGCCTGCATTTTATCATTCAACCAGTTGATGATACTGTCATGTTTTAATTGTTTCAGTTGTTAACTTTTATAAAGTGGTACTTATATTGTTAATATGTTGTACAATAAAGATAATGTCTGTTGTAAAACATCTCATTTTGCTAAACACATCTTAAAGATCAACCAAAAGCATTCAGAATAGCAGGGACTCTACTACTTCCCAGTGAATATTTTTGATATTGAAAAAAATCTCATTCCCTTCATTAAATTGTATTCACCTCTCTGGGAATTTCTACGTCGTGACAATATGAAATATCATATTTTCCCTTTGAATAAAGCCCATATTCTTTCCCCTCCCCAGTAAATAACCTCTATGTAAATTCACCATTTTTCTGACCTGCAATTGCTGCAGAGGCATCCAATAGTTTTTTAATAATTGAAAATGACAATGGAGTAATTCAGGTGAACAAATGATGAAGCTGAAAAATGTTTACATGAGCGTCTTTCAAAAATATACAAGTTTTCTGCATATGTATTTTGATAAGATATCTCTGTTTTGATTTACTATGATCAATTTTTATAATATACAAATTCTCTCAAGCTTTTTACTCAAACAAAGATAAACAAATTTTTCTTTTCAAATTTATTACTCTTATTTCATTTCAGTATTTTATATTTAATGTTAAATGTTTATGTTAAAATTTAATGTTTATACTTAAGGAATAAAGACCGAGATTTTATGATTCATGGCGTAATATATGATAGAAATTTTTATTCTGTTCATTATTAAAAGACCGAAATCGCATAGCGATTGAGGTCTTTCGTAATGACCAGAATAAAATTTGAGGTCATATATTTGACATAAATCATAAAATCGATGTGTTTGTTACAATTCTAATATGATAAACAGACAAGAAACACAACTATTTGCATTTATGAATTTTAGCGGTCATGCATACTCCATATAGACCAGTTTATCAATTGTTCTAGCTATTGTGACATCATGTATCATATTAGAATCCTCAATATATTACAATAAAGTACAAAGTATTCTTGGACTTTCCAATACTTATGTTTGTACATTTTTTCTACCTAATTTTAAAAATACCTTAAATCAAAATATTCAACAACCCTATACATAGTTATAAAAAAGGTAAAACTTAATGGCATCTGGACATGTATATATGCATGTCTGAACATTCAAGTAAATGCAGAGGTAACTGGATTCAAATAAATACACAACATACTGGCTCCAATTACATTAAAACAATATTGATTAAAACTTGAGCTTTGTTACTGGCATGTCTAATACTGTATGTCACAGACTGAGTCAGTCAGTGCATTTTGTAGTATGTATACACTGGCGGATCCAGGGGGGGGCATGGGATGGGCCCAGAAAAAAATGTTGGGCCCAAAAATTTTGTATGGTTTTAATTAGTTGACCTTTGCGGTCATTACTTGGCCTTTTTGGGCCTTTTTTAGGCCAAACTATCGAAACATATTGTGGCTTAGGGCCTAAATTATTTTCTGCACAAACACAGAAAGTTTTTTGGGATTTGAAATTTGCCCCCCCTTGCTTCTGGACCGCCCAGTGGTATAGTTGAACCTGAGCATGTATAAATGACTCACATATTTCTCAAACATAGCAATACATAACTGTACCCTTGGTGTCACCTATTGTAATAAAATAAATTACAAAGAGTAGAACATATTGCTGATTAAAATGAGTGCAATTTAATAGATAAAGTTGGAACAGACAACAAGATAAGTTTTATACATATACTGTAGTTCTTCAGATAAAAACATTTAGAGAGGTAGACTTTTAAAATGCTATCAATACAAGGTCTTATCTTTAGTTAGACAATTTGTTGGCCCTCGTCCATCCTTGCCTTCAGTATTAGTTTACAAAATATTCACTGTACAAGCCAATATTAGAAGCGAATAAATTGTAATAGCTTAAGAAAATGAAAAGATACATAATAAGATGAATTCTGTATCATCAAACTATAATCCAAGTACATAAGTATTACATAATGTGATAAATTCTGTATCATCAAACTATGATCCAAGTACATAAGTATTACATAATAGGATGGATCCTACATCATCAAACTATAATCCAAGTACATAAGTATTACATAATATGATAAATTCTGTATCATCAAACTATGATCCAAGTACATAAGTATTACATAATAGGATGGATCCTACATCATCAAACTATAATCCAAGTACATAAGTATTACATAATATGATAAATTCTGTATCATCAAACTATGATCCAAGTACATAAGTATTACATAATAGGATGGATCCTACATCATCAAACTATAATCCAAGTACATAAGTTTTACATAATATGATAAATTCTGTATCATCAAACTATGATCCAAGTACATAAGTATTACCTAATAGGATGAATTCTACATCATCAAACAATCCAATTACATAAGTTTTACATAATATGATAAATTCTGTATCATCAAACTATGATCCAAGTACATAAGTATTACCTAATAGGATGAATTCTACATCATCAAACAATCCAATTACATAAGTCTTACATAATAGGATGAATTATACAGCATCAAACTATACATCTAATATGAAGCTTAAAAGGATGATAATAATATAAGCTAAATACACACATCTTTAATGATGTGATAGATTCCTTATAATTGAACACTATTTTACCCTGACCAAAATAATCAATCTTACATGTGATGTGTTCTACATTTTAAAAACTATTCTTACTGTTTAATCTACATACACAAGTATTGAATATAATGATAATTATAGATTCCTTACTGTCAAACAATATTCAAATCTAATCCAAATACACAAGTTTTACATAATATTGTAAATCCTATATTGTAAAGCACAATTCAAGTACACGGTATAATCCAAATACACAAATTGTACATAATAGTCCTTTATAATAGTATGAATTGTACATAGTAAAACAAAGTTCAAGTATATTCCAAATATACATATCTTACTTATTGCCAAACACTATTCAAGTGCAGTATAATCCAGATACACAAGTTATACATAATAGTCACGGATAATAGTATAAATTGTACATTATAAAACAAAGTCCAAGTATATTCCAAATAGTCATGTCTTACATATTGTCAAGCATTATTCAAGTACAGTATGATTCAAATGAACAAGTCTTATACAATAATATGAATTCTACATCATCAAATACCATATGATCTAAATACACATGACTTACATAATATGATAGATTCTACATTGTCAAACATTTTGAAAAGACAACTTGGGAGTAGAACTTGTATTTCTATAAGACATCTGCCTATAAATATGTAAGCACAAATGCCAAAGGGAAATGACCAAAAATTGTACAGAATGCAGCAAACTACATATAGCACCCTAACAGGATTTTTTACCCATGATATTCTGATTTGGAATGGATACGCAGAAGGATGGATGCATTATACATGTTCATTCAACTTCATTGTTTAAAACAGCATGCAGTAGCTGCATAACTGTATGCTGTTTTAAACAATGCATTGGAGGTTTGGAATGGATGTACAGAAGGATGGAGGCATTATCCATGTCCATCCAACTTCATTGTTTAAAACAGCTTGCAGTAACTGCATAACTGTATGCTGTTTAAAACAATGCATTGGACGCACATTTAATAGAAAAATAAACCCATGCAAAGGTAAATCTAGGGAGACATGAGTAAAATATTTCATCGACGGAGCTATAAGACAATGAGGCCTTCTTATGTGAATGATTTCAGGATTCACCTATTAAAACAAATTTTAAGTGAAAATATCTTAAAAACCCAATTGCGTATGATAGCATAATCTTTCACTTGTAAAATTGATTTTAATTTAGACTTATATGTCACTGCATACATTGATGGGTGAATGATATATTTTGTTTTCCAGTTTCTCTTTGGTATATAACCATATTTCACTCTCCTTTTCACTTTTGTATCTTTGATCGAGATCAAGCAGTTCTTCCTCTTATCGAGTTGAACAAACTTGATGACGACCATGGACAGTTTGAGCCAGCTGCAACCTGTTATTATAAAGTTCGCAAGCACTCTTATGTTGCCTTACATTAATTTCTACCTCTACGTTGTGTTAGTTTTATGACCCAATATTGGGACAGACTGAAGCTTATGAATTGTTTTGTTTTTCTATAGAGACAGTGTTATTGTACATTATTATTTTCATTGCTGTCTATGATGATTTTTCATACTCAAAGTGTACTAGTTTGGTCTAGTATCAGCTTACGGTTATTATCAAATGTGAACGTATTCTAATTCTATTGGTATGTTGTGCACTTATGGAGAAAGTCTTGATGAATTAATCTGCACATATTACAAGACATCAGTATTTGTTTCAATTTAGTTACATCTGTTTCCTTAAAATCCTATCCTTCAACCTTCCAAACTTTGGTGCGATAGAATCATTTTGCATTTTGATTTTATTAGTTTTTTTGTTGCACTGATCTATCAATTTTAAAGCTTCTTGGTAATCAGAATGACAATCACTACCATATTGCAGTGCCATGTCGAGACTTTCATGATAATAATTCAAAGCTTGTTTGTAATCCCCTTTGTTTTCCTCCACCTTGCCTAAACTTCGCAGTGATCTAGTAACATCTTGATGAGGCCTATCTTTATGGATTTTTTTATACATTGCGAGTCCATCTTGATGATACTTAACCGCTTGTTCAAGATCATCATATGTATTTCCAAGTTTGTACAGTGATCTAGCAATATTTGGATGGGGACAATCTTGATGGATCTCTTTATATATTTCCAAGACTTGACGATGATAGTCTTTTGCCTTTGTGTGTTCTCCCATCTTATCATGTACAATGCCCATGTAGTACAGAGTACTAACAAATAAATTTTGCTCTTGATTGAGTTGCTTTCTTATTTTGACACTTTCCTGAAAAGAATCCAATGCTTTGGTGTTCTCTCCCATTTCACTATATATGATACCTATATTGTACAGTGAACTAGAAACATCCTGGTGGGAACTTTGTTGGTAGATTTCTCTTCTTATTTGAAGACTGTCCTGGTGGTATTTCAGGGCTTTGGTTTTTTCTCCCATTTTACGGTACACCCTTCCAATATTAAACATTGTTCTTGCAGCATCTGGGTCTATCTTGCTTGGTCTTATTTCTAGACTTTTTTGAAAGTTTGTTAATGCTTCTGTGTTATATCCCATGTGGGCATATAAGTAACCTATCTTGTGCAGAGCATTTGGATTTGGCATTTCACTGCTTCTGTTGATTTCTTTTGTCATTTCAAGACTTTCTTGATGATATCCATATTTTTCAGTGTCCTTTCCCATCCTCTCGTATACCAGTCCTATCATGTACAGTGATTGAGCAATATCTGCATGTTGAGGACTATCTTTGTGTATTTGTTTCCTCATTGCCATACAATCCTTGTGTTTATCCAGTGCTTTATCATTATCTTCACTCATACTATACACCCTAGCTATTTGGTACAGGGAATTAGAGGTATCATGATGGGGCTTGTCTGAGTGGATTTTTTTTCTCATCAAAAGACATTGTGTGTGATGTTCAAGTGCTTCGGAAAGATCTTCCATCTCACAATATACGTATCCTATGCTGTACAGTGAACGAGCAACATCTAGGTGGGGGTGGTCTTTGTAGATTTGTTTTCTTATTGCGAGACTTTGCTGATGATGTTCAAGTGCGGATTTTTGATCTCCTATCTCACAATATAGATCTCCTATACGATACAATGAAGACGCAATATCTGTGTTCAGGTCATTTTCATGGATCGATCTTTTCATATCAAGGCTGACTTCATGGAATTGCATTGCTTTAGTATGCCATCTCATCTTACCATACACTTTTCCAATGCTGTACAGTGAGGAAGCAACATCTGGGTGGGGAGTGACTCTTTTTGTTTTTACATCCTCATTCCTAAAATTAATGGAATTGATGGTATCTGATGAACTAGTCAGCTCTCCACGAGGGCTCTTTTCATTGACGAGGCTCATATTTGATTGACAAGATGCTTGTGACTCCCGCCTATGCATTGAATCTGTGGAGATGAACAGCTCTCTACTTAGTTTCACAGCTTCCTCCGATCCATCATTCTCAGTTTCTTTTTGATGAGAAGAATCTTGATAGATTTGTACACGCATTGCTAGACTTTTCTTATTATAATCCAACGCTTTCTCATAATCTCCCATTTTAGCATGTACATTTCCTAGGTTGCAGAGTGAATTGGCAATCTCTGGGTGTGAACTATCTTGGTCTAGCAAAGGTTTCCTTGGGTTATTAGGTTGTCTTTTTATATCTTTGTAGATCATTCTACGCATATCTAGACTCTCTTTATGATATTCTAATGCTTTGTGCAGCTCTCTAAGCTTTTTGTACACATTTCCTATGTTATTAAGTGATGAGGCAATATCTGGATGTTGCTGCTCATTGTTTCGATATATCTTTCTACGCATGTCTAGACTGTCCTGATGATATTTCAGTGCTTCACATTGGTCTCCAAGCGTGTAGTACATATTTCCTAAGTTATTTAGGGATCTAGCAATGTCTCTGTAATGGATCTTGTTATAAATATTTAGACTTTCATGAAGATGTATTAGTGCTTCGTAATGGTTGCCCAGGTTTTTATGCATGTTTCCTATATTATTTAGTGATAAGGCGATCCCACTTTTATCTTCATTTTTCTCACACATGATAAGGATGTCCTTGTAATATTCCAATGCCTCTTTGCATTTGCCCTGTGACTCATATAATGAACCTATTACATTCTTTATTTTCAATATTTGTCTCTCATGACCCTTGCTTTCAAGAAGTGATTCAAGTTCTGCCTTGTATGCAGTAAGTGCATATTTATAGATATAAATGTTTTTGTAGAACTCTCCCTTGACTTCGTGACTTTCCTCAATGTATCTGTCTAAATATAACCAGCTGCCTTTTACAGTCATGTTTGACTGGAGAAATCGGCACCATGGCAAGAAGGTAATGTAGAACCTTATTATGGCTGTAAAACTCCTCACTGGCATCACCTCTTTTGGTTCACCATTGAGATTATCACTTTCAAGGAAGGATATCAATTCTTTCTGTTGCTTGTAACTGCCATATACCATATGTCTTAGGTTAATGACTGTACAAACCATTATTTGCAAATCGGTCTTTGCCCTTTCAGTCAATATCTTCTTCTCTCGCAGTTCTTCTAACACATCCAGAGGGGCAGATGATGTACAACCATGCATTAGTTTCAGAACATTGATTGTGATTGTAGCAAATCTATATATATCATGCTTTGTATGCATTTTCTTGGTGAAAGATTTTGATGACAGAGGGTGTTTGAGGTATTTCTTAATATCTTTCCTTAATGTCTCCAACCCACGTTCTTGTCCTACAGTAATATTTTCATTTGTTGAAGATTTTGAGGTTAGTATTTTATGTACTTCTTTGTCATACTCTTTCCATAGTTCTCCATTTCCACTTATTAGAGTTGAAGTCATTAGAACATCACTGAGGTGATAACCCTCTTTCAGTGATTTATCTGTAAATTGATACTTGCTCATTTCTTTAACAGTCATGATAAGTTCAAGTTCGGGAGGTTTATCGGGATCCTCTCCTGATTTCCTGCCAATAGCTGTCTTGCTAGCATAGGGTTGTGCTCCATCAAAAGAGACTCCTCTTGGGGTTGCTTCATCATAAAAGTCATTTTCTTTCAATTTCATGTCATGTGGAAGGTGATTGTTATAATCTGTTAGAACAGGTATGTCTAAGCAGTTTAACAATGTTTCCCCAAGGTTTAGCACCTTTAAGTGCATATAATAAGCTATCATGCGCAATTGTGTTTTGACATAATCAGGGTCTTTATCTAAAGGATCGTACAATATTGCCCACTCAATATCGGAATAAGCAGTGACCTCTTTTCGGGATATGGACCCAAGTGCTATAAAAGAAAATGTACACTCAGGATGTCCTAAAACAGAAATGCAGTCATTGATAATAGACTCATAAAAACCTAACAGCTGTTTTGTGAGTTGGTCATAGAACTCTTTACTCTGTTTTATTGTTTCTTTTTCCTTTTCCTCTTTCATGTCTATTGTTATGTCATCAATCACCATGTGCTTCTCGATTATATCATTAACATTTGTTATAGAATATTCTCTAATTTTCTCCAATGCATCTCTGTACTTCTTCGTTGAGGTTATTGTTGAAACATCACAACGTTTCGATAACTTCTCAAGGAATTTATTTTCTATACATTGAATCTGTTTGTCAATATATTCTAAGTCATGAATTGGAGAGGTGTCTGCATTGTTTGAAGGGTTACTTTTCAGCTTCTCGATTCTTCGCTTTGCAGAATTATATAATGCACAGGACCAAATGCAATGTTCATTCCATTTGTCTGATTTTTCAATGGATTTGATGTGCTCTTCCCCAAGCTGACACATCAAATCTGCCTGTTTTCCCAGTTCGGTTGCTTGGTCACATTCATTTATTTGGTCACCAAGGTCTTTCATGAGATCAGTTACCTCTGAAAGTTTAATGTTTACTTATGTAGTTTTCAAGAAAGAAACTATAGTGTTATAGATATATAAATAGGAAACATTTTGTCAATAATGGAAACATTTGTTATGTAATAATTGAAATTGATCATATATTCAATGAGTGGGAGGGGGAGCAAGCATGAACAGACTGATTATTAAAGCTGGCATCGAATAGGATTTTAATGTCGACATGTCGGAGCTCTCGATCGACAACGATATCGACATTGTCGGGTCCAATGATATTCGAAAAATGAAAAAAATTTTGAAGAAAATCCATCTGAATTTTAGATTTTCTAGGCTTGTAATTAGCAATACGATGCACAATAGTCATCCTCAGTTGTATGTTTTATATTTAACTAACAGGTAAACCATGTTCAAGTATCAGACTTTGACGAAAAAGCAATAGATAGACATAAAACTACGATTTCTGTTATTTCCGGGCAGCCATTGAAAATAAATCTCGAGGATAAATCTCGAGGGGCCCCGAGACCTAATTCGAGAGCAGGAAGTCGATGAAAACAAAAAAGAAAATTTGAAAATGTAGGCGGTAAAACTTCACTAAAATACACCATACAGCAGGTAGTAACAAAGATTTTAATTCATAGGGAAATAGCTTATTATGTTGTGAGTTCCGACTGTCGATCAAGAGGCGTTGTGTCGACATGGGTGTCGCAGAGAGCATTTGACTGACAATCGACCATTCCGACATTTGATGCCAGCTCTACTGATTATACTACAATTAATTCGTTTTGTGTAAATACCTATATTATCTTATACTTCGTGCTCATACATACTCATAAGATTATATCGTACAGGGGTTGAATGGTTTTTATATAAAGAGACAAACCAAACTTTTATCTGTAAACTAAAACCCATGAAAGTAATAAATATGACTATTCTTTCAAGTAAAAATATATTAAGAAAATGTTTTATGGTTCAAAAATTAAGAAAAATGACTGCCAGAATTCAAACCTGCTGCAATCGTGTATTTTTAGCTCACATGGTGAGCTTTTGCAATCACTCACTTGTCCGTCTGTCTGTCCGTCCGTCAGTCCGTCCGTCCGTCCGTTGGGAATCGATCCGGCGCCATATATGGCAAACCTATACTTATACAGTTATGAATTTCAAGCCATTGAGAAAATGTATAGGGAAGACTACTCCAAAGTACTAAAATATGCTAAAACTACAAGATTCATCGATGATTTATGTACTATAAACAACGACGGAGAAATGGAGACTGATATGAAGAACATCTATCCTGAAGAACTAGTGTTAAACAAGGAAAATGAGAAGGATACAGAAACAACTTTTCTGGACATACAAATGAAAATAGTAAATAAACAAATCACTACAAAACTATACGACAAAAGGGAAAACTTCAATTTCCAAATAGTCTCATATCCTGATCTATCTGGAAATATTCCTAGAAACCAATCTTATGGAATATTTATATCACAAATAACTAGACATGTAAATTGAACAAGTTCAATTTAAGACTCCAGATTTAAAACTTTTTTTAAGCTAAGTCATCCAAAATACTGTTAGCTGAGCCATTCAGAATAAGCTGAGTCATCTAGAATACAGACATTTAGACAACTCTTAAGTAGCTTATCTTTGTCTACATTGGCTTAACATGGGGATATCATAATGTCGACTTTTCGAGACTTCAAACAGCTATAACTATCTAACCAGAATTTGGGTCGAAATTTGGTTTGCAGATTCGAATTTCTGAGAAAATTCTACGTTTGTGTCATAACTCATACATTAAATTTTGAAAACTTTTTATGTTGACCTACTTTCCAGACGCCATTCCTCAAAATCGGTAAGAGTAATCAAAAAAGACAGTTACAATAATGAAAGGACTGTCTTTAAGCTACATGATGAAAAAAAGATAAAGGAATAACGACGAATAGTGACAAAGATAATTGACATAACATGGGATATCAAAATACCAATTTTTTAATTTTTCAAAACGCCATTACTTCCAAACCAGGTGTCGGATTGAAATTTGATTTGCAGATTCGGATTCCTGAGAAAATTCTACCCTTAATTCATAACTCATACGTTAAATTTGGAGAAACTTTCATGTTGACCTACTTTTCGGACACTATATCTCAAAAGTGGGTCAAAATACTTTCTGACGGCAAAAGGCTAACACTATAAGCACACTCTTTACTACCTGTATACAAAATTTTGAAGCAAATAATTAAAGTGTAGTGTCAGAATCGCAAAAATAAGTTAAAACTATAAATTTGACCTAGATTTTGACCTAGGCATTTTGGTGACCAAATTGTGAAGCTAGCTAGCTTTTGAGGTCCCTTTCTTTTATAGGCTTTCATTATGTGAAGCTGTACTCAGTATTTATCTCGTATTTTACACTTCAAAAAAATCTTTTTTCCCATTGCCATAACATGGGGCACCAAATTTAGCGATTTTTGAGCTTTCAAAACAACATAAATTCCAAACCAAAAATCGGATTGAAATTTGATTTGCAGATTTGGATTCCTGAGAAAATTCTACCCTTTATTCATAACTCATACGTTAAATTTGGAGAACCTTTTAGTTTGACCTACTTTTCGGACACCATATTTCAAAAGTGAGTCAATATACTTTCTGACGGCAAAAGCCTAACACTATTAGCACACTCTTTGCTACCTGTCTACAAAATTTGGAAGCAAATCATTAAAGTGTAGTGTCAGAATCGCAAAAATAAGTTAAAACTAAAAATTTGACCTAGATTTTGACCTAGGCATTTTGGTGTCCAAATTTTAAAGCTAGGTAGCTTTTGAGGTCCCCTTCGTTTATAGGCTTTCATTATCTTAAGCTGTATTCAGTCTATATTTAGTATTTTACACTTCAAAAAATTATTTTTTCCCATTGACTTAACATGGGGCACCAAATTTAGCGTTTTTTAGCTTTGAAAACGCCATAACTTCTGAACCAGGAGTCAGATCGAAATTTGGTTTTCAGATTCAGAATCCTGAGAAAATTTCCTATAAGACTGATATCCTGGACATTGGATTCGGAGAACTTTTTTTTGGACCTGGTTTTTGGACACTGATATCTCGAAATCGGTTTGAGATACCAAAAAACTAAATCGACCCTAGCTTTTCTACTTTTTTATGAGGAACACAATGAAAAAAACCCGGATCAAAAATATTGAAGGACGACCGAGATAATGGGAAAAAGTGACAAAGTACTAGATTTGACCTAGTTCTTGACCTTTGACCTAGATAAAAATTTGACCTAATTTCCCAGAAAGCCAGATACATTCCCTAGTCAACCATGTAGGTTGAATTAAGTAAGATGTTATAGTTGGAGAGAAAATCTGTTAGGAGGAAGAAAGAAAGAAAGAAAGAAAGAAAGAAGAATAACTAGATTTTGGAAATTGAACGAAGTTCAATTTCAGACTCCAGATCTAGACTTTTTTTAGCCGAGTCATCCAGAATAAGCCGAGTCATCCAGAATAAGCTGAGTCATCTAGAAAGAGATGGATAAATAAAATAGGAAGGTAGGATAGGATAGAATAGGAAAGAACGATAGGATAGAATAAGAAAGAAGGATAGGATAGAATAGAATAGGAAGAAAGGATAGGATAGGATAGGAAGGAAAAGATAGGAAGGAAGGATAGATAGGAAGGATAGGGTAGGATGAGATAGGAAGGATGGATGAATTTTTCAATATTTTCTTCTCTACTCTTGACTTTCTATCAGGATACCATCAGATCGATTTTTCTCGAAATTTCAAAACGCTATCACTTCCGAACCGGAAGTCGGATCGAAATTTGGTTTTCAGATTCGGATTCCTGACAAAATTCTACCCCTAATTCATAACTCATACGTTAAATTTGGAGATTTTTTATTTTGACCTACTTTTCGGACACGCCATAACTTCCGAACCGGAAGTCGGATTGAAATTTGGTTTGCAGATTCAAAATCCTGACAGAATTATTCCCTTAATTCATAACTCATATATTCAATTTGGAGAACTTTTTATTTTGACCTACTTTTCGGACACCATATCTCAAAAGTGGGTCAAAATACTTTCTGACGGCAAAAGGCTAACACTATTAGCATATTCTTGGCTACATGTATACAGAATTTCGAAGAATATAATTAAAGTGTAGTGTCAGAATCGAAAAAATAAGGAAAACCTATGAATTTGACCTAGATTTTGACCTAGGCATTTCGGTGTCCAAATTGTGAAGCTAGATGGCTTTTGAGGTCCCCTTCTTTTAAAGGCTTTGATTATATGAAGCTGAACTCAGTCTATATTCCGTATTTTTCACTTCAAAAAAATATTTTTTCCCATTGACTTAACATGGGCACCAAATTTAGCGATTTTTGAGTTTTCAAAACGCCATAACTTCCGAACTGGAAGTCAGATCCAAATTTCGTTTTTAGATTCGGAATCCTGAGAAAATTTCCTATAAGACTAATATCCTTAACATTTGATTCGGAGAACTTTGTTTTGGACCTCGTTTTCG